TATGAAAAGCTGAGTAAGTATTTGAGCTTATCCTGGCCATTTATCCCACGCAGAGCTGAAGCTGCTGTCTGTTCCTAATTTACAGCTGATTGTTTATTAACCTATAAGGCCAAAAGGGTAACAGTAGTTTTTTCTTTCAGTCCAGAATGAACTGCATCTATTGCTTCAGTCTCTGATAGATAAAAAATGAAGTTTTGGAATTAGCTGCGACAAAGGCATAACATTTTGTTGTCTTTCAGAAAAAATCCCGTCTACTCCCCATCATTTTACTGTAGATATGTTCTTAAGGAAGATAGTTATTGCCTACAGTTAGAGATTTCTGAGAGAAAAAAGACATCCGAGAAACAGTATCCCTTTCAGAGTTTACTAGTGGTAAATTGTGATGCATGTTGTATCAGAAAATAGTTAAATTTTTTTAGGGAAATATTTTGAAAAAAGGGTTTAGGAACAAAAAGTGAAACAGAGTTTTAGAGTGTTTGTTTCTCCTAAGTTTCTACACCTGAAATTCCCTTTTTTCACAGGGAAATTTTTTGTTGTGAAATTTTTGTCAAAAGACTTATGAAAGTAGAAAAAAAAAAAAAAAGAATTTGATTTACAAAGGCCTGCTACCAAATAAAAATGGAGCAAATTTTTTTGTACTTCTAGGCCAGCACTTGTGTACTTCATTTAACAGTTAGGCATGCTTTGAATAAGCAGTTCTCTTTTTCAAAACAGGAATACAAGTCCAAAATCACATTCAGCATCTTTCTTCTTTCATATTGTTTTGTCATCCCATGATGTACAGATTTGTAGATAATACTGGGGAGAACATCAAGGCAGTAGAGCAAGTGAACATTCCAAAGCTGTGATATATTGGAAGTATTTCAAGTGTTTTAGTCTGAAGAGGGGAAGAACTCAACCACAGGAATTAACTCCTGGGTGAAAAAATTGATTTCACAGAAGGCTGGGTAATTCCCTTGCTTGCATACAGTACCCTTTCTGGTGTTGAGTTATTCTCAGTGCTGAACTCAGCTTTATGACTGGAATAAACCTTCTTCCGAAAAAAGACTCCTAGGGCCTTGCAAAGTGTTAGAAATCTTTACCTTTAACTCAGGAAAGTGTCATCTCTGTTAGCAGTCTGCAGCAAGTGAGGGATTGTTTTTTGCCTCTATTTCCAGACTCACTGAACTTCAGTTTAAAAAAACAAAACTAACCTGAAGAGGCACACACAAAAAAGAGAAACCTATCAAAACCCCCCATCACTCCACTATAAAACTAAGAGGAACTTCAGGTGCTGTGATATGCTTCCATTTCAAGTCTGTCTGTTATGTTTGGTATATTCTCAACAGCTTCCTGAACTGGAACTGAGGCTTCCAGGGCTCTCTGAGAGTCTGTCTAACTGGAAGGCTTGAAGGATAAGAAAAAGTAAAGGTTAGGAATGAAAACTAACAAACAATGTAGATAAATGTCTTGGGTGTATTTTTAGTCCTCTCCATGAGAGAATCTTTTCTTCTGGGTCTCAGCTGAAAAAAAAGCTCAATTGGATTCAAGTCCAAAAACAGGGTAATATAATTACCCAGCTGATGACACTCTGAATTTTAGCTGTGTGCTGAGCACTTAAAGATGTTAAAAATGCAGTGGGGTTAAAACCCCCTAGAATTGTTTATAGTGTTCTTGCCTTTAGGAATGCAGTAGCTGAACTTGTCCCTATTTGGTTAGAAGACTGTGTGTTCCGTGGGGAGCCTTGAACATGCACTGTTCAGTGGAAGGAATTAATACTAGAGAGAGATATAAGAAATTTGTAATCACAAGCTGGGTCTGAGAAGGTAAGCAACAAAACAGCTTATATGTGTACTCGGTCAGATGTATCCGTTTGGGGTCTGGAGGCAGCACTGTCTGAATTGAGAATTTAGTAAAGCTCTGGTGTTGCTTTTGTGGAGGACAGTCAAGCCTTACAAAAGCATGAGAGATCCTTTGAAGGCATCTGCATGTGTATGACTGTTATGTATCTTGTTAGCACAGTAAAATACTTTCTCCTGAATTGGGAAACACCAGGTGGAGTTCTGTCATTTTTTGATTGTCTCTACAGAAACAGTGACTTGGTAAACAGAATTGATAAAAATACTTAGAGATTGGAAGGGGAAGGGAAAAATTGAGCAGTAGTTTTCCTCTTTAGGCAGTGTAGACTTGTGATTTCTATACTATATGAAGAGAAGTTACTTCATACTTTGTTCTGATATGCACATGCTATCATGCAGTTGAAGAGAAAGATCAGTGAAATAGAAATGAAATGTGGTTTACAGATAACTTTGAACCACATAATGTTTGGGTTTTTTTACCAGTCAACGAGGTAATGAAACAACTTTTGCAGAGTATTAATTTAAAAGAAAATTGTTTTTTATATGTGAGCTAATTGTTGAAACTCAGGAAGATGGAAAGTTCTCTGTGTCTGGGCTATATCAGATGGATTTTAAATAGTAGTCTGTCCCTCCTCTTTCTCTTTTTGAAGTAAAAAATGCTCATTCCTTGGATAAAGGATTTTCCCTTACTGTTCAGGATGAATTACTAGATGGTGTTTAGGTGATGGGAATATCTGTCATGTAACACATGCTGTTTCCTAATTTCAAAAGTGATACTTTAGGGCAGACTGAAGGTGACAGCATCTACTTACTTAGCAAGGGCAACTTCATCTTTTAATCTTTATGGTGTACAGCAGTTAACTAGAAATACTTGAAACCCAAACATTTTTCTAAATTTTTTAGTGTTCATGGCCTATATGTGTCAATTTGTAATGTTTCTCTAGTTTATTCCCTAGGAAAAAAAAATAGGTAAGTAAAGGATGGGAATGCAAAGTACTTTTTTCCCTGTGTTAGCATAGGTGTTTGTGTATTTATGTAACTGAATAATAATAGAGAACTTTTATAACCTTAGTTTTCTATTTACTTTTCTAAAGTAGGTATTTTATATTGACTGTTTTGTTTCTATGAGACTTTCTTAAATGTCAGAGTATTTGTGGACAAACAAATGAGGTTATGATCTGAGCATCTAAGTAGCTGTTTGTACTACCTACTTTAACGTGGTGCCTCTGGGCCAAATTACTTCTTTCAAGGTGTCTCTCCACAAAATTCTGCTCTGACAAGGATATTCTCCCTTTGAAGAGCTGTACAAGTTTGTGTGGTGGAAGGGTGTGTTCTGGGTGTAAATGAATCTTTCCCTGGTCTATTTGACCTTTCAGCTGGTCAAATAGTCATTAACTTTTTGGAAGGGTTTGTTCCCTTTACTCTCTGTAAGGAGAAGAAATAGGTGGTTATAATTTCTTCTTTCTTTTCTGGCTGCCACTGGTAATTGTGACAGATGGTGTTAGAGATACACACGTTGAAATGTATTGTATACAGCATCTCTTTACAGCATCCCTGAGATAAGGCGCTCAAAATCTATTAGATGTTCCTATATCATACTGCAGGTACTGTGTCCAGACTCTGTGGTTTTACACTAATGAGCCACAAAGGTATGTAAGAGATCTTTGTTCTGCACAGCAGTGTTGAGATCTAGTAAGTTTGCCACCAAATTTGTAGTAGTAGTGCACCCTTGTGCTTCCAAACTGTACATGTATACAGACACAGCAGACATAGTTTCCTTCACTAGATTTAAGAGATCAGGGACTGTAAACCATGGTTCTTAGAGTGTAGCAACCAAACATTTGATTCATCAAGAATTCCTAGCTTTTTGTTCTGGTTGACCATTCAGCCTCTTAAATGCTTTTTCTTCATGGTTTTTGTTTGTTCTGTAATTAGTAAAATATGTGTCTTCTCTGTGTGATGCCTCCATTTCATTCTGCCAGTTAGGGAGGACATTCTGCCATCTCTCCTGTAGGCCTCACTCTGAAAGAGGCACTTGTTCCCAGATACTCATTTGCTATGACAGATTATGTTTTTCCTTTCAGAAGGGAAATGTTCAACTGGACTGATTCCATGTGGTTAATATGTTTGGTCGTATTACCTTCCTGATGCAATTATTGAAGATATTTTAGGATTCTGCCAAGCTTCACCTTGTGCTTGGAGTTCTTGACTTGTAGCATAGCCTAGATTGATGACCTTGTTCTTTGTTTTGATAGCAAACTTGAGCTCATTTCTTTAAAAAAAGGGGGCTTTCCTGATAACCTGAGTTTTTGCAGGAATGCAAAATCTAGACATTGTTTTCAAATAGTTTTCTTGCTTAGACTTGTCTTAGCTTCTAAGACAAGATATTAATGAAATTTGCAAGCTATACCAGGGTGAAACTGGCAGGCAGTTACCTGTCAGTATTCTTCCGTGGTCCTTCTGCTGGTTATCTTTGGCTGTCATGTGAGAATAGTTCCATCACGAATGGTCTGAAAACAAGGTCACTGAAGTTCAGATTTTGCTCCAGTGTAAATTGTCCTCACTGTATCTTTTCTTTCGTTGTTGAAGTTCTTGTAACCTTAAGACTAAGAAATGTACCTCATACTTCTTAGCTCCACATGAGAATACTGAAAAAGACAAAAATCAACTTCCAGACTTTCAGGGTTGATTACTTAAGGCACGTAGGTTAAGATGAAAATTCATCCTGAGGAATTCAATTTAGTGATGAATAGCTCTTGCTCTGGTAAATAATTTGAAATATGGGGCTTTATTTTAGAACATTTTTATTGTCAGGGTGCAGGTCTCAGAATTGGATGCAAACAGCTACTAGAGGATTGTTATACAAAACATGTTTCCAGTTAGACACAAAAATAAAAATTATGACGCCATTAAATTTGTCAAATTGGAAATTACTTGGAATTGTTCATTTTGGGTAAAGAAAAGGTCATTTTTTTTCTTATGGTGAAGTGGGAGTTCAAGGTCTTGTGATTCTACGCACAATATACAATACTACACAAAAATGAAGCATTTTTTTAAGATATATTAAATGTTTGAAAGTAGATATGGTGAAAGATAGTTGTAAGAGATTTCAAACCTTGATGTATGTTATATCCTGTTTAACAGTATTTTATGTTTATTTAGGTTCCTCTAAAGAAGGAGGAGCTGGGGCTGTGGATGAGGATGATTTTATTAAGGCATTTACAGATGTTCCTACTGTACAGGTAAGATGCTATGTATATTCATGTTTGTCTTCAGAAATGTGTTATTTGCAATAATAGGTTAACCTGCTTTTAAAATTTACATAATTTTACATTGTTCTAAGCAAGCATCATTACTTTTCCCTCTTTCTGACCTTCAAGTCTCCATGGAAAGCTCTTTATATTTTTCCAGGAGTTACCAAAAAAAGTGTCACTTTTCTTAACTGTCTTGCTAATTATTACCACATTGTGTTTTGGCTAAAATGCCTTATTGCTTTTCTCAAACGTTTTCAGAGAACTAGTGAAAATAATTGGATGTTTTAAGAAGATTAACATGATGTTGGGAAAGTTTAGGGCTACAATTTCAAGGCATCTTAATAATATAGGCAAATAATTTAAACAGCAAGAATTGTATTTTCAAATTTGCCTGAATTGTAATGATGTGTGTCTGGTGTACATGTCCTTATTGTAGTAATACTTTAAAAATATTAATCTAGTGCCTTATTTTCATACTAATGAACTTGTTGGATTCTGAGTTCTTAATTAAAAGATTGGATTTGAATTTCTGTTCTTTTAGTGTGGGAATTGCATGTATTCGATACTTTCACATAGTTGAGTCATTTAATATGTGTGTAGCATACAAGGGCTGTTATTCATAAGTTTTTCTTGAGCAGCTGAAGTGTGGAACACAACCAAAGTCTCAGTAAGCCATAGTTCCCAAATGACAGAAGGATTTTGTAATACTCCCCTTTCTTGATGTGTACTTTAGTTCTATTTTTATTTCCCAAGCATTTGTTATTTGTTAGATCTGCAGGCAGCAGTCCTGTCTGCTTTCATGAGGGAGCACTCAATCTCCATGATCCCTGTCACATCAAGGAAGTCTTTGTCTAACACTGTAAGATCTTTATGTATCTTTGCCTCTTCAGACTGTGTTAAGAATTCTTCGAAGGATAAAAACATGCTGCTCTTAATATTGTTTATCCCTGTTATGTTGAGCAGAGCCATGTTCCACAGAACAGAGAACGTGATGCTTGTAGTTCAGTGCCTTAGTGTGTGCAGTCCCAAGCACAGAGTTCTCTAGTTACTCGGGCTGGTTGGTAACACTGCAGGAGCAAAACTGGGATGACCACAGGCCGTAGACAAACACATGTTATTTTCTGTCTGACTGCCAAATGGCCTAGGAAGGCAGGTCATTCTCTAAACTGCAGAAGATGGAGGAGAAAGACATTTGTCTTTAGTAATCTCCCACAAGCTGAGGTGGGGAGGCAGGAGAGAAATGTGTAGCTGACTCCCAAATTACCTACTTGTTTCATGGATGAGCATGCAAGAAAAAAAACACGAATTTTTTTTTTTTAGCGTCCTTAGGAATAATGACTTCTTGGCCAACTTCATGCTTCTCGTTGTGAACAGTCTCTGATCTTTCAGAAAAAGAAAATCAAAGCAGATTTCATGTTCTGCAACCATGTTAATTACTAAGGAAGTGGGAAATGTCTCTGTTGGACTTGTGAAGAAAGAATGTTTATGAGCTGTAGTTTACCAAATTATCCTGAAAGCAAAGGACAGCATGAGGAGAGAGAGATGTTTAGATGTTACTGGGCCCATTCCTGTGTCTCTTCTGTTTTCATTACATTTATGTGTTTGAGTAGTGGCTTCAATGAAAGTAAGAAAGGAAAACCAGATTCAATTCTGGATCAAGATTTAGTGCATCTAAATTAATCAAATAAATTGAGGTTACTTTCAGTGTGGGTGTGTTTTAAATCATCCTTAAAACTCTCCAAAGGTAGATCTGACTTTCCAGTAAGCTGTTCATGTGACTGCTCATCTTTTTTTAGGAATCTCATATTGTTTACTTGTACCCAGTTTTTAAATCCCCATCTTGAAAATACTTTCCATCTGTATAGTTATTATTCTTACTTGTGTTTGAGCTTTTAATTTTTGTCTTTGATGTTACAGTTGCCTTTAATGAGGTATGTTTATGTTGCCCTCTAACGGATAGCAGCAGTTTATGAAGATGGGTGATTTTTAGATCTAGTCTGATGGATCTGTGTGCCAAAAAGTACTCTAGTGACAGGATTGTGCCCTCGTATTCAAGGTTACAACCATAATGTTTTTACAACTTAAGCTGTTGCTGAAACAGAAGAAAATTCTGTGTTTGAGTTATTAGGAGTAACTCCCATTAATAGCTAAAATTGGTTTGAAAACAAGTTCAGTTGTTTTTATAAAGTCTGATGTGGGAGCTTGTGAGCAAAAAATACATTATGTCATTGGCTGAACACATAATTTCATCTTGGCCTCCTAAAAGTGTAATGAATTGAGGGCAGGGAGAAAACAAATTATTAAAATATTGCCTTTTATTCCTGTGAAATTGAGGTAGGTGTGTACAACGTTGAAAATACGGGATTTTTCAGTGGAATTATAGTTTTCATTTGATGACAAAATAAAATTATACCACTTACTAAATTCTACACTGCAATACCAATTTGAATATTCCTAAGTCCTGTTCTATTTGTGCCAGGTAATTAAAGAAAAAATTCAATTCTTTGCCTGGAAATGCTGTTAGGGTAGACATGAACCTGTGTTACAGGTTGCTTCTATTTGCCTGGTGCCCAGCATGTTTTAGTCTTGCAACAGTAACTATACTGTACAACATAGTCTCTTATGACACAGAGGCTGACAACAAAAGAAGGCATATTTTTGGGACTGACTTAATGAAACAGCTTGCAAGAAGTTTTTGTACATTGACTTCAGACTGAGATTTGACTGTGCATGGAACAGTTCTCAGTTAGATGCTACCAAGAGACATCATCCTGCTTCCCTTCTTGTTGCACCTCGCTTTATGAGAAATTCACAGAGAAATGCTAAGTTGGCAAAGAAATTCTTGCCTCTCCTCTTGCAGGATGAGCTTTCTGTGTATTAAAGGTCTGAACTGAGCAGGAGACAGGTCAAAGAGAGTTATGGTAAAGGGAGATTCTGAGGAGGTTGAATCGTGTCATGAATTCTGATGGTATGAAGTGTCACTGTAAGATGAAACTGCATCTTGAGTTAACCACTGACTAGTCCTTTGCACTTTCAAAGAAAAATAAAAATTTTCTTTCAGAATGGAAATTAATTTTGATAAAAAAGCTTACTGAGACACACGTAATACTTTTTTTTTTTTTTTTTAAGAGTATGATACCTACAGAATTCGTGTTAGAATACACTAGGTTTGTTCAACAACCATTAATAGGCTACCAGTATACACAAATATCTTAAACAGTGACACAGAACTCATGTTCAGTTTTGTGGGTGGTGGAGTAGAAAGTATCTTACACTTGGACCCAATATTTTTCATTAAGTCATTTGTTCATTTTAAGTAAGTTATAAATCAGATGTTTAGTGACTTCCAGTGAAGCAAACCATAATTGTGAGGAATAGCTTTCTGGTTTTTATGGGTTCAGTCATGTCTCCTGTATAGGAGTGCAAAGCTGCTTCCACACTGTATCCTGGAAGAGCTCACACAGCTCCATGGTAATAAAAATCTCACTTTCATTGGTAAAGTATATTCAGAAATCGTTTTCCACCTTATAGTGAAGCTGGTCTGGGTCTACTAATTAATCTGTTTCTGAAAAGGTTCCTACCCTGTTTATTCTGGAAATCCAGTATGAAGGTATTTTAGAGCTGTGATGTCTTTCACCTCCTCCATATTCCAGCATGAAATATGCATACCTCCATAACCATATTCTGTTAAAAGTGTTGGAAAAAGAGTAGATGTCAATAGAGTTAAGGTTCCATATCTTTTGTAGGTTAAATTAATTTGATGTGCTCAGGAAAAGTGGAAAACTACACTGTATTTAGAATAACCCTTACAGTAATTTGAAGATGCCTGGGAAATTAAGATATTGTAAAGAAAATAATCATTGAACATAACTGCAGAACAGAAGAAAGACATGGCATTGTTTTAACAGTAAGATCAAAGATGCATGTACACATGCTGGAGCAGCGTGTCCAAGAGACACAGCTCTTAACCAATTCAGGCAAAACAAGGTGTCCTAACCACTGGCCCTCGTTTCCTCTGTGTGCTCTTGCACATACAAAAATCGTGTCTTAAATAATAAGGGAACATCAGGCCCTGCTGTTTAGGTGCTACATAAGTTCTCATGCTGGTGTCCAGCTTTCACTGTAGAAAGGTGAGCTTCCTTCAAGTCCTCACTCACATCTTCCAGCCCTGTGTCTTGAAGGTGTCTCAGGTGGTGTCAGGTGCTTGTGTATGGGCCAGTGAGTTTTGCCTAATGTGATTACGTAAAAAAACTTCTGATCCAAAAAACTGGAAATGTTTAGCTGAAGATACTTTATAAAACAAACAAACAAAACAAAACAAAACAACAACAAAAAAAAAAAAAAAACACAAAACAAAAAAGACCCTGGCCAGATTAAGTTTCTGCTTAGTAATTTGCTTCATATTCTCTTAAACTTATTCTCAGTCTGAAGGGAAAAAAACTTGAAATTTGGTGTATGCAGTGGAAGCAGAAAAAAGCATCTTTGAGTTACGTCCAGGAAAATAGAAGTGAAATCAGTCAATTTGAAAATATTTTTTCATTAGTAGGTTTTTTATTCCTTTCTTCTTTAAAAATCTGTTTTTGTACATTTACAGTTCAATAAAGACATTAATTCATTTATAACCAAATAGTGTCTGTTGCATGATTAGCTTGTTCAGGCTTCATTATTGGTGGTCTTACTGTGTAGTGAGAATTTTGACTAGAGGTGGCTTCTTATATTTATTTACTGACTGTATAAGTTACTAATTGATAGTCTTAAGGTAGCAATACATAGAGAAGCTATGGAATGCTTTTAATTAAATTTTTCAGACAAATTGTAATTCAATGTTCTCACAGCCCAGTTAGTTCCCCAGAGTTTCCCAGCTCCAAAAGAGTTGCAATGAGTTAAAGTGTGTGTTGAGTTTCATTCTAAGAATATGAAAATGAAACAGAGTTTCAATTATATTGCAGCAGATTATCTAAAATCTCTGCTCCTCTTGAATTATTTTTTTATGTGAAGTTAATGAAATTGTGGATGTGATTAGCTCATCACAAAGGTGAAGGGTCAAGTCTTTGTGATAAGCTAAAAGGAAAGGAAAATGCTGAAAGGAAAATGTTGCTTTTTCAGCCTTTTTTTTTTTAATGAATATTCATTACTCATTATTCATTAAGTGATATCCTTACAGATTGGTCTTAAAATGCCCATTTATAACTCTTACACAGATCTCTGTAACTTGAGGGGTAAGATTGGTGGGATTAGAATCATATTTTCATTCTTCTCAAGCTATTTTTCTTCATCACATTATGCGGGATGTTAACCATATGAACTTTCTGATATTTTTATTTTTAATACTTCAGATCTATTCTAGTCGAGAACTTGAAGAAACGTTGAACAAAATCAGGGAAATTCTCTCAGATGACAAACATGATTGGGATCAGCGAACTAATGCGGTAAACTTTTTATCTTATTTCAGGCTTGGGTGGGTGTATTTCATAAAGCACAGACAGCCAGATATTTAAAAACTTTTTTTTTCCTAAAATCATTGCACTCCATGTAATGGAAGAAATTTTCATTTTAATTTTTACACCTTGAATTTCTGTATACCGGGTAAGTTTGTGGGGTTTTTTTAAGTCTAAAATGCATTTTTGCTGACATATAAGTGGAAGCCTTTCTAAAAGCCATCACAAATGTTTAAGTTTGGCATTTATGCAAATTGCATATTCTACAGGTTAACTGCTAGCATTAAAATCTCTTGTTATGAGATAGTAATAGCTATGAAATATCTGTTTATAGCCATGAAATAGCTATTAATAGCTATGAAAAGTTCCACTTACAGAGTTAAAATTTTTGTGTGTATATATCATTTATATTTTTTAATCGGGTTTATGACATCTTAATGTTTATAAACAAGTGTGTGAAGGGAATTATGTGTTTGTGTATTTGTATTCTGGATTCTGAGATTTTTTTTTACGTCTAGAGCTTAATGTAAATTTTTTACAGTTCTTTTTAATTACTGCCATATATTTTGAAAATTTTGATTTAAAGACATACTAACATGTATTTTTGCATAGTGAAGCTGTTCCTTTTGTTAATGCATATTGGCAGTGTCCTAAACTAGCCACGTTGATTTTTTTAGCTGAAGAAGGTTCGATCCTTGCTCGTTGCTGGAGCTGCTCAGTACGATGGGTTTTTCCAGCACTTACGGCTGTTGGATGGTGCTTTCAAGCTGTCAGCCAAGGATCTCAGATCCCAGGTGGTTAGAGAAGCCTGCATTACTGTAGCGTAAGTACAGTTGGAGTGCCTTTGTGCACCTTGCTACATGTTACTGTGGGTTGGCTTAAAGGTGCTTTATCAGTGTTCCAGGAGAGGTTCTCTTGCTGGACTGCTGTACTCTGTGACTGATAAAGAATCAAGTCAGGATCTGAAGCTTCAGAGGAAAAGAAATGCTTAAAGGAATTTGTTCTCTGAGGGGATACACGTAGTTGATAATCCTGTAACGAATTGTATGTGAATCACCAGTTACCATCCTTGCAGAGTCATCATTAGTGCAGGTTAATACAAACTGCTATGAATGATATTGGGGACTTATCTTAGGATCATTTATGCTTGGGTGATTGGCACAGCACTTCACTGGCACTGCTTGTAAAGACAATGCCAATAGCGCTGTAGTGGTTTGAACACAGAGCATTTTGCTGTGGTAATACCTCTCATGGAATCATGGAATGGGTTTGGATTCGAAGGGACCTTAAAGATCATCTAGTTCCAGCCCCATTAGCAGTGCAGGGACACCTTGCCCAGGACCAGGTTGTTCAAAGCCCCATCCAGCCTAGCCTTGAACACTTCCAGGGTTGTCTCTGGGCAAGAGACAGATGATGGTGATAATTTTAGAAGCTGTGGCTAAACTGAAATAAAATCTTCACCATTGGCATCTTGTGGACTCCTTTAAATTCAGGGGCAGAGAGGAAAACGAGAGTAGTCGTTCCCATTTCTGTGTTTTCTGTGACTTTTTTTATCCTCTGGAAAGACATTAGTGTAACCGCTGGTTTTCAGTGGCCATCTGAAACAGGACCACCATAGAGTTCACCCTTGCTGTTCTGGTCTCCTGTTTGAACAGACCAAGAGGAAATGTTGAAGCATACAACTGCCCTTTCAAGGAAATTGAGACTTTGAGAAAATTATAATAACCTTTCCTAACATGAAGTCAGGAGCAGTGTAAAAGTACTCTGCAAATGTTCTCATGCAGGCCTAACAACCTGAAATTTTCCTTGATCCCTAAGATTTTGATATATTTGATGTGTCATTTGCTGCTGGCTGCAAATCCTTTTTATATAGTCCTCCTGCACAAAAAAAAAGCATTTGTTGTCACCAATGGACAGTTAAATTACTGTGTATGGCATGTGTTTTTGTATTTGTTAAAACTGAAAATGTAACCTTTAGCAGACAAGGGAGTCAAATTTTATGGTTGGCTGATCGTGGTGAGTTCAGTAGTTTTGTCTGCATTCAAAAGGGAAAAAAATCTCAATTTATTTAAAATTTTAGATTTATACATCTCAAAGTCTGTTAAAAAGCAAAAATACAATGATACTTTATGTGGACATGAAAATTTAGGCTTTCCAGTTGTAGTACTTGTTTTTCATTATGAAACAAAGTTATTCACGTTTGGTTACTTAGTGTGCCTGGAAATTGTGAAATTGAGAAATTCTGTTGTTTAGAAAGATGAATCTTTAAAATCTGCAATGAACTTTGTTATTTTCAGACTAAGAAATTAATTCACGTTTCTTCTAAACAGCCACCTTTCAACTGTTCTGGGAAACAAGTTTGACCATGGCGCTGAAGCAATTGTGCCTACTCTTTTTAACCTGGTCCCCAACAGCGCCAAAGTGATGGCAACCTCTGGGTGTGCAGCCATCAGGTTCATCATTCGGGTAGGTGTTTCAATCTCACTTCACCTGCTAGGAATTTTTAGGTGGTGGCTCTTGGCAGAGGTAACAACTACACTGAAATACAGGTTTTAAAATCGTTCTTTAACAGAGGAGTAATGGGTGGACAAATACTACATATCATTGAAACCAATTGGCAGCATTGTCACAGTAAAGATGGTAGAATAGTTGTGAACAGCTAGTCTGTTTTTGTGGTTTTGGATTTTTTTATAATGCATTAATTGAAAAAAGACCAAGTGTGTTTCGAAGGGTAACTGCTTTTAACTGCCTTCTTGGAAAATACAAAGTTAAGCTAGTAGCTAAGAAACTGGTGAGAATTTAAATAGCGCAAACAACAAAACAAAAGGTATTTCTTTCTACATATACACTCCCCCCCAAAAAAATTTGGAACTATGGAAGAGATTGCACATGCCTGGATCAGTTCAGAAAGCACAAGTTCATGAAAGAAAAATCCAATAGAGATAAGAATTTTTAAATTCAAAAACTTTCTAAGCTGAGTCCCCAAATCTATAACATTTGGAATAGAGGAGTGCTCTATCCTAGCTGTTTTCTGCTGAATGTTCTTTGAGCATCTACTGATTGATGTCTCAGGCAAGACAGTTAGAGCTTTGGGACTTGTACTGATATTTTTGTGTTTCACATAAAGTGGGAGATGGCCTGTAGTTTCTGCATTAGAAGTTGTGGTGTTCTTAATGCCAAGCACTTACTGCAATTAACTATGATCTCATCAATGGTTTTAATTTTGTAAGTTGTTGGAAAACCTAAGAGGTTTCATCACTTAACACCTTTTTTTGCCATCTTCAGTATGGTTTGGAATATACTTGCTTTGTCTCTCTGTGCCCCTGAGAATGTGCTCTGAGACCTTTGCATGCATGACCTTCGTATCAGCACTTGGGCTAAGACAAAATCCCTTGGTATTTTTTCCCCAGACTTTCACACTCCACTGTGAAATGGCACAGACTTGAGCGGGAAGGAATACACCGTACACACGGTTAATTAAAGTTGTAAGAGAACAATACCATTTGCCACAGTAGTGTAAGACAAGCTCAGGCATGTAAAAAGTTATAAACATTCACCAATTACATTACATTGGCTTCATTGGTTCAGTTCATTTGAAGACAAACTTACACATCAGCTATAGTTGCCCTGATTTTGTTTAAATTTCTGTTCTTCTTAGCTGTGACTTAACGTAGTAGATTTGAAGCATAAAAACAAGAAAATCCTGTCCACAGTGTTCAAATACCCAACCAATAAATGGCATATGTGAGGTTTTTTTAGTAGAAAAATCAGATTTCAGAATTAAATATCAAAAAGAAGTGCAGCCTCCTGCCTGTTTGGGCTTCTGTCCTTTGGACTAAATAAGTATTGGTCAGGGGTCTTTGATCAATTGAATATTTAGAACCCAAGCTACTGCAGGTTTTGGAGTCAGTGTTTTACTCAAAAACTCACAGCAGCGTCCTGTTGTGATAAGGCACGAAATGATGACACAGATACTGCTGCTCTCGAGGGGAACAAAAAAGAAGCAACTTTATTTTCTGACTCCAACATTTATAGTTTTCCAAAGGTGACAGTGGATTGGAGGGTGACAGTGCCACCTCTCCAATGCCACTGGACAAACCAAGGGTCTATCAATTCTCTCTACTTCCATGAAAGAATGCAAAACATAGGTTATTTACAGAACTGTGTGTGAGAAAGTTTGTTAAAAGAATGTAAACATCAGAAGGCTTAACAAAGTCTTACAAAATCAGGGCGACATCATCCAGTGACAGCCAGTTCAGATTCTGGTGCTTTACTGTGTAATTGCTGTAGAGTGAGTCTGCATAAAAACAGAGAGGCTGTATTGTACCAGTGATCTTGAAGAGCTTCATCTCATCTTTGTGCCTTCATTGGATTTCATATTTCTTCTCCAGGAAGTTCTTACACTGCAGTCTGATTTCTCTTTCTTGACTCTTAGTACATCAGGAAGCCAATTAAAAAAAAGGTGGGGGAGCAGGGAGGGAATAATGGAGGGATGGCATGGTGGCAGAAATCTTTCTCAGGAGGAGGGATTCAGCTTTGTCAGCTGATCTTCAAGGTGGTTTGCAAGGAAGCACATATCATTACATCCTCAAAGGAGCAGCAGATGAAGTATGACATGTTAAAAACAGAATGAAAGCAAGCCTGAAGCTTTGATTCCTTTGCAAAATGCTTTCTAGAAATTACAACATCGATAGCTCCAAACAGCTTGAATGTACAGGTTTCTCCATCTGTAAAAAACTTTATTTTTGATTTGCTCATTGTCCCTTTCTGGAAGTCATGTACCTCTTTTCAATTTGCAGTCTATACAAATCTATACAAAACACAAACAAACCCCTTAAAACTGTGTTTAAAAGTATATCAGGACAAACAAATGCAACTGTTGGCTCTTCCAGAATTTTTGATTAATTCCTTCCTAATCCTAAAATTGGCAGTACTCTGTGAGCTGATGATTATCTCTGCTTTTTTTGTGATTTGTGTGTTTATATCCTGCAGCTGTGATACATGAGAGAGTAAGAATTCTTCAGTACTGAACTTCTGAAGATCTTGGATTTTTTTAAATTAGCCTACTCTTTCACACTGTATTGGGGACTGTTTACTGTAGGTATTTAATTAAGAAAGGACTAAAGAAATTACCTGAAAACAGATTTGTTGAACCACATTACTCTTACTTGAAATTAAAATGGTTATGCTTTGTGTCTACAATTAGTTAAGAAAAGGTGAAGTAAGGTAGCTTTAATTCTGAATTCTGTAATGCATTTGGATTGAATGTAGTTTATCTTATGCTTAGTTTGATAGTTTTCTTCTCCTGTCAGGTGTTTTCATATAGATTGTATATATAAGCTTGCTTATATGTCAGTGTTTTTATTACTTTATTGACATATTTTGCATTAAAGGACATTTGATCGTTGTGGTACTAATCATACTGCTCCTTGTAAGAATGTCTGTATTTTCATATTCATTGATTCACTTTTTGTTCTATAACCCTGACTTTTAAGACAGCTATGTCTATTACTTTTTTTTCTTTCCTGTGGGAAAACTGAAATAGCATCAGCTTTCAACTCCTTTGAGGAGATAGCTACATTTGAACTTCTTATATTACTTTTGACAGCAAAGTTGCGTATCATGATGTTATTGTTGATGGCACTGGAAGTGGTTTTTACTTGACCTTTTGGAAGAAACGAGCTTTAATCAACTGACCTGCTAACAGCAGTCTTTCATTTAATAGTATTTTATGACTTAGTTTTGGCAAGCAGTGTAAATTATTGCAGTTTTTATTATGGTGTTAATTCTGTTTGTATTAATAAGCACAGTACAAATTCAGGATTCAGGAATGCTTTTCTCATTAACTGCTTTGTCCTTTTTTTGGCAGCATACTCATGTGCCACGACTCATACCTTTAATAACAAGCAACTGTACCTCAAAATCAGTTGCAGTTAGAAGGTGAGTACATTATAAATGAAAATTATCAAAGCTATTGGTTTTAAAATTATGATTATCATATGTTGAAAATTAACACATTAGAAGATTTGTGGCCATAAGTGCTGAACACACAAAACTGTTAGCCAGTAAACTGCAAACTGCAGAAATTAATTTCAGCCTTGAGACAGAGGCAGCTACCTTAGGACACAAAGCATCCATGTGTTGTGGTGGGGGTTCAACAGCTCAGCTACATCTCCAGCATGTTGCTTTCTCTGAGAACATGAACATGGGGATTGGCTCTTGAGAAGATGAATTGTTTTTTGACAGTGTAATTTTCTGCACCAAATCACACAAAAGCAGTTAATGCTGTTTCTGAACTGACACTAGTCCTGGAAGCGATGTCCCAGTATGTGTGCAGGAAACAACTTGAGCATCTTTGAATCTAAGCTGCTTTTGCATCCAAAGCAAGTGTTACCTCAACCCAGATTGTACTCACCTGCCACACCTTCTGGTTTGACTGCTAAACACAGGCCTTCAGTGCCTGCACATGCTGTGCCTTTACTGAGGAATAGACTGTAGGTGGCTTTGGTACTGCAGTTCACAATCCAGTGAGCATCAGTGAAGGCATTGTCTCCATACTGCTGTCATTCTTTTGGAAAGACAATGAAACACTAGATTGGTTGTAATAGTGAAAAGCATTGCAGGATTTCTTGCCATGCCTTGCCAATGTCCAAAGGATTTGGGCAGAATAAAAACCAAATTTGTCCCTCCAGAACAGGTCCAAAAATGCTGAATAACCAGAAAAAGAGGTAGTTTCAGGCTGTCAGGTTCACTACATGTTTGAAAATTATCTACACCTCCCTAATCTGTGTCAGTTTGATTTTTCGTCAGGATCTAGCTTCAGACACAGTTTTTGAAAGTATGCCTTTTGCTAATGGCAGTTTGCTAAATTGTCAAGATTCCCAAATGAATAATGAATACAGTTAGACATCTTCATTAGTACAGTGCCAGAAAATCTTTTGCAGTGCTTTCTATATGCAGAGCCCTCTGCTAATGGTCTCATGTTTTCCTTTATGCTACATATTCAGTAGTGACAGATGGAAGAATGGGAATAGTGTTTGGGACAGAAGTATACTGCCACAGAAATCCTATATTGTGTCTTTAATTTTTTTTTTTAATATATTAGGATTTTATACTCTGTACAGTTTTTTCAACTTCATTAATGTCTGTTATTTTGGGACTAATACAGTTAACATGGTGAACAGCACATTGTTAATTGAACCATGTCTATTATTTTGAAGATTAGTTAGCCTGCATGTTTGCTTAATAAACAGAACATTTTAACTTTCCAATAAGGTGACCAATGCCCTTACTTGACAGATAAATGTACTTTTATTTCATTTATTTCCCTCAGGAGGAGAGAGTAAAGTTAGTGTTTATTCCACAAGCACATTAGAGAAATGAGTATTTAATTATGACTTTGGTTCTATGTTTTTAGGCGCTCCTTTGAATTTTTAGACCTGTTATTACAAGAGTGGCAAACACATTCACTGGAAAGGTATGGGCCAGTATACTTTTTTCCCTAAAATAAACTGCTAATGTAATTTAAGACAGAAATATTGCCATTGAATCCTTTAATTGGATTATGTTGTTCAGTGTTGGCCAGCCTTTCTGGCATAGACAGCCTTTCTAGCACGGCAGGTCATGCGGCTCATTCAGGTGCCAGGGGGAAGGAGAGCTGTACGTTCCAGCCTTGGCTTCCTGTGGCCTCCTCTCCTTACCCTCTGCCTCTCCTATCCTGCGTGTGAGCAATGCGTATACAGGTACGCATCTGTGTTTTCTCCTGGCAGGAGGAAATCTGTGTGTTTGCTGTGAAAGAGGGCAAGTGGGCTTAGGGTGGAGGACTTCTTGTGCTAATGAGTAAGGGCATGTTGTGGCTTTTCCAGATAGATAGAAAACAGCACATGCATCAGTTCTGCAGGTTGGTCACTGTAAACACAGGGTAGGAGCAAAGAGAATAAAGGGCATCCAGAAAAGGCTCTGAAGAATTCATCCAGTCACATTGCTGCTTCCCCAGGGTGCTCCTGAGAAGGGGGAGTAATGGGGAAAACATTTATGCCAAAGTGTCTAAAAAAACCCACAAAGCCTGCCACATCTCCCCCACCCCCAAATAACAAACCTCCTGCCCAAAACTTACCTTGAATTAAAACTTGTTTATCTTCACAAGTTTCTGTTCTGATGGGTACTTTGCTGTTCATTGAACTTGCATTCAGGTTTAAAACTCATATGCCAAAAGCTTTCAGAGCTGAAAGAAAACTTATGGTCTTAATTTTTCCCTTTTTCCTACTATTGATATAACAGTGGAAATAGTTTTTCCATTTCAGGAAGGCAAGTGTCTTTAAAAAAGGTATTTTTAAATAACTTTTAAAGTGTGCTAGGTGGGTGTATGTCAGAAGTAGATTAAAATCCTTTTAGATTGAAGGAGTAAGCTGACCTAAACCTTTACAGAAGGTACAGTTATGTCATCAGTGTGCTTAAATGTTTGTTTACTGCATATTTTGGAAAGAATTAGCATTGCAGCTGTTTTTTACTTGGTGAAATGTTAATGAAAGTGTAAAGTTACTGCTTAGAATTTGGAGTAGCAAAATAGCATGAAGAATGTCTTTCTTCTAGGCATGCAGCTGTCTTGGTTGAAACAATCAAGAAGGGTATTCATGATGCTGATGCAGAAGCAAGAGTGGAGGCAAGAAAGTGAGTTTTGATTAATTTTGCTCTGAAAAATTGTATGTGCTGAATGAGTGATAGAAGGCTCTAATCCATGGTGAGCTGCTATCCATGGCTGAAGAAGATACAAGCAAGTTTGTTTGAAAACTGATGTTTTTGTCCTGAATTGCTACCCAGTTTCTTTTGCAAAAGACATTCTCAAAGCCAAGTCAGTCAATGCAGTTGTGCAGCATTTGATAATTCCACTGAAAGAAGAGTTAGAAAGGTTGATATTGCTGCATAATCATTCTGCTCCCATTAATTAATTCTTTAAAAAACTGCAGCACTTTGACTAGTGAGAAGGCCAGAAAACAATTCCTTTTGCTTCCCCACACAACTGGTAAGTGAATGTGAGACATTCAGAGGATAGACTTAAGCTATTTTGAAAAGATTAGTTCAGTCCCTGTTGCTGACTTGATGAGCATTGCTGTGTGCTTTACGTACTCTCGGTTCCTTTCCCTCCTGTCCATGGTTATGGTTCATTCTGTAATCTTTACTTGCTGACTCCACCCTTTAAAGAAAATACTGAACATTTACATGTGGTTATTCTTTTTTGTAGGGCTTATCTGGGTCTTAGAAATCACTTTCCTAGTGAAGCTGAGACTCTGTACAATTCTCTGGAGCCACCCTATCAAAGAAGCCTTCAGACCTATTTGAAGAATTCTGGCAGTATAGCATCTCTCCCTCAGTCAGACAGGTCATCCTCCAGCTCACAGGAGAGCCTCAAGTAAGGGTCACTTCACTGTTTCTGAGCCAAGAAACAAATGCAGTTTCTCAAAAGCAAATTATCCAGATTCCTGTTGAGTACAGCAAAGCTGCAGTTTTATTTTGTGACTTCTGTTTTTTTAATAAAAATTTCTTCTCTGGTGTTTTGCTGTGTGACAGTGTTACCCCAGCAAGGTGCAAAGTACAGACAGTCTTTAACTGGATATAGCATGCTGTATTCATACATTCATTCCTTAATAGCTGCTTTAAATCCCAGAATATCTTCAGCGTTCATATTGATGTCCACGATGTGCTGAATAGGTCTAGGAAAACTATAGTGGTGTAATTCCTTTTTCATCTCTTCACTGGCAAGCATGAAAAAGGAGCATCAACAATGAGTGAGATTCATTGGAGATTGGTTTGGGTTTTTTTTTTTTCCCCTGTCTTCACAGTACTGAATATATATTAGCAGTATTTCATAGCTCTGCCACTTACTACAGGGTGGGTCTGTGCTGCAGTCAGTGATGTATTAAAATGCATAGACAGTCTTGAGCTGAATAAATTGAAGTTTTCTTAGGTACCAATAGTAAAAGAAATCTACTGGCTTTTTAGCAGAAATATGAAGTAGTATGTGGTGATTTTTGCCTTTAAATGCTAGAAAGCTTCCTCAAAGTATTTCAACCTTTTAGTATTTCAGATCTTCATTATCAAAACCAGAGAGCTTTTCTGCTCACTTGTTATTTGAAGGCAAAGACTGCTTCTCACATAGTGGAATTTTTTTTTTTTCCCTTGATTACCAGAGGTTTACCTTATCTTTCCTATGATACTTGTAATTATAAAAAATTGTTTTAAAATAATTGTCTGTGATGCAAGCAATTGCCAGCACTTCATTTTCCACAAGTGTTTATTCAAAGATTAAATATTCTTGTTTAAATTAATCTGTGTTCCCTGACTGAAAATAAAAGTGCTGTTAATGAGTTACTGGTAATACACTATTAAAAACTAAATTTCAGGGAAATCAGAATCTTAAAAAACTCTTAAATCTTGAAATGTTGCTTCCCATGTTGTGTGAGTGCTACAGTACAGGAAGTGAGAGGTAAAATAAGAAATGAACAGAAGAGGTGATGATATTGGAAATTCATGAAATTTTAATTGATTTATTACAAACTTTGTATTCAGATGGATGTTTGTTACCCAAAATTTTATTTCTGGCTTTAGGTATAGTGAATGCTGAATTCCCCCTGTATAGTCTAAATTAGGAAATATGGGTATGATTTCCTAGAAGTCAGATCCTATGTGATTTTTGACCTTCTGAACTTACATCTCATAGAGATTGTTAATCCAGAATTATTTTAGAGAAGATGGAGGAATAAGAAAGAAATGTGGTGACTTCTGTCTACCTATATGAAACTGTGTACATAAAACATCTATTGCGATAGATTGTGGCAGCTGTCTGGAATTGTAAGGTCAGGAGCTCTTCCTCAGCCTCCTCACCGTACTTGAGGCAAAGTACCTTCAAAACACTAGTTAGTCATGTCAGAAAAGCAGGTTTATTCAGAATAAATTGCAAACACATATTCTTCTGTGAGGATTTAGGTTATGGTGCTGACCTCTATATTACTGCTGAGTACCTGAGCTAATAACTGGGGTAAATACACAGTATGAGGCATCTCTTTTCTCTCTACTTTTAGATTTAAAATTAAAGGAATTATTTTTACTAAAGCTTGAGACACTGACTCAGCTTGAAATTTGACTGTTGATGAAATACTTGACTATTTCATCAAATACAAACCTTCCCCGTCAGATATTTAACCAATGAATATGCTATTATGTTTACTTCTACCGGTTCTTTTAATTTCCCTGGTCTCTCCAGCTGCATTTTACCCTTCCAAACAGGCCAGAGGATGGGCTCACAATTAAACTTGACCAGACTGGAAGACTGTGCTTCAGTAACTACTTGTTTTTGCAGTGGGAAGGAAATGAAGACAAAACATAGAGGAAAAGACATGGGATTTTTCTCCTTTTATAAGTTATGAGAGCCTCTACATTCCAACAGGGGAAATGGAGTCTAGCTGCTTGGAAGCATCAGTATTTCCTTTTTTAATTTATAACTTAATTCTTGAGACATCTGGGACTGGAGGAGGCTTATGAGTTGGACACCTGTTTTTCTTGTTACTGCAGACACCACTTCACATGTCACAAATGAAGTTTTTTGGATAGCTCCCACTGTTCTTGTTTGATGACTGATGTATAAGATCAGCCCTGTGGTTAAAACCTTGTACCAACCACCTTAAATGTTTCTGTGACCTGGTCTGGGATACCTGAACTTTGTTAGCAAAGTGTGCCTGTCGGTAGCTGAAGGATTAGTGCTGTGTGATAAGGATGTAGTTTTGTAAAATATAAGGGAAAAGATAATTCTGGTTTTCTTACAATTTTCTATTTCAAATATTTATCTATAAAATATGCTGAGGAGGTTGAAGGGGAGAAAATAACAGAATTTTAATTTTTTTCCTCTCTTTTATTTTTGACTTTTGCATCTGGTACATGAGACTTACTGGATTTATTTTTTTATTTTTTATTATTTTTTCAGTCGGCCTCTGTCATCTAAATGGTCTGCAGCCAGCCCAGCAAGTCTTGCAGGCAGAGGTAAGGTGGTGGTAATATAGTGCAGTGCCTAGTTATTGTTCTTAATGTTCTTTGAATTAAAAGTTCTAAATGCAGCTTAAAACTTGACTGTATCAGCATTTACCCCGTTTCCTAGATAAATAATGGTATGTGTCACTACAAACTGTACCTGGAGCTCAGATTGCCTCACACTCACTTCACATTTCATGTAGTTTCAGTTGTTTCAATTATAAGACATAATTAGTTTTGAAATATTAATTCATTGATTCTCTCTCCTGGAGTTTTGTTATGGAACAGTCATTCTCAAAGAAACAAAACATTATTCTTTGTTCTGTTCATGGTTAGGCTTTTGGCAATTAGAAATTAAAGACTCACTGTCTCTTTCATCTGTTCCCGTGTAGCTGTGCTCTTTCTAAATAAATAAAGAACAACAGCCAAACGGTATATTTGTAATTCAAAGAGCTTAATTATGTGTTTAGTTTTAGGAATTTAATAACTTCAGTGTCTTTTCCCATAATGTCTTAGTAACTCTTTGAGAGTAAATCATTGAGCAGCTTTTTGCAAATGGAGTGTAATTAAGAATGGATACTGAAACTGATAAGGGGAGTGAAGTTTAGAATACCTAAAGTAGTGGTTAAAATTAAGCAGATAGTTAAAATTCAGTAAATTATAGGAAGTGAATACGAAAATACTAAAGATTGGACCCTAAAACATTTCAGAGTACACATTCAACTCACCTTAGCTGAAGTGTGGGAATATTTTCTTCCTTCAGTATCTCAAGGAAGGATGTGAATTTTCTTACATTTGCGAATCGTTCAATAATGTAATAAATCACACGAAGGTTCAGAATTATGTCATTTGTGCTAGGGTGGGAACAGACAGTTTGCATTAAATAATGCTAAAATTTCATGCTGAATGAAGAGGAGTACTACTGTCACACAAACTGTTTCTATATGCAATTCATGGCAAGACCAGGTCTAGTTTACTTTATAATCTCAGTAATTCTTGGTTTAATACTAGTTTAACCTTTTTTACATAGTTCTTCATGCTTTCTTACAAGCATGGTGTGGTAGTAGAAGATGTTGCCTTCTCAAATATCATTCATTTTATTCAATATCAACTCTCTTCCCCCCCCCCCGCCCCCCTCGCCCCTTTTCTGGTAGCTGCAGGCAGCAGCAAGGGTGTCCCAAGCCCGGGCACCCTGCAGAGGTCTCGCAGTGACATTGACGTGAACGCTGCCACGGGCGCCAAGGCCCGCCATGCTGCTGGACAGACAGCTGGAGCTGGGCGCCTCTCAGCAGCGGGGCTGCCCCCGGGGTCCTACGCCTCCCTAGGTAAGGGGAGCACCTCTGCACTGCTCTGAGAGGTCTTTGTGATTTTCTTGATCAAAAAGTTACAGTGCAATACTCCTGTATTTGAAAAGCAGTCGTCGTTGTTTGTAGCACTGGAGTATAGCAAAAGAGCAGGTGTTCTGAAGTAAGTGCAAACTTTCCTACATGCTTTATTTTTCTTGTGCTGGAAGAACGCCAGGGCAAAGAGTGTGTCCATACTATGCTCTCTGAATGTCTTAATCTAGAATTACGTGTTGGAAGGAGTGGTACCTTTACTTAACAGCACGTGGTGGTCATGCCTTTTTTTGTTCATAAACGTAGCAGGGAAATGAGTGTAAGAGCTCTTAATTGTCCATTTTTCTTAGCTCTTCAGGTATTCTACAAGAGTGCTAAAGAGATACCCTGGCAGTCAGAGTGGCTTCTTCATGAAATAGACAAGCGTTTTACACAATAACTTACTACATTCAGTTCATAATTTCTTCCTAAGGACATTGATGGAACTATGTGTATGCTTTACCTAGCTGACGGTCTCCACTGATATTTGCTGTTAGACATACAAAGTGTTACAAGTCAGTGTTTTAAGAGTACAGAAAATAATTTGATAATTGTAGTGGTGGTGGTGTAGGTGCTAGAGCATCCAATGGCAGTGGTAGAGGACTATGAACATATTTTTGTTCTAAATTTTTAGCTTATCCATGTTGTAGGGATAACAGTGGGGAAAAAGAGGTCCACTGTTCACAAAACTGTTTTTTTATTCTCAGCTTCTGTGCCAGCTAGACCACCAAGGAGAGACATGTTCTAATGTTAGTATGGCTGTAAGTGGTCACAAAGACAAAGAAACTGTACAGTTCTTATTTGCATTGTGTTTGGGTAGGTGTTAGCTTACACACATGTAGGCTGTGGTTTGCAAAGGTTTTAGTTGTGCTTTCTAAAATCAGAAGTTAAGTTAAAAGCTACGTAAAATGAGTTGATTCTTTATGTCAGGGCCCGCTTGAAGTACTGTAAACGGCATTGATTTTAGTGTTAATTTAAAGAGTGAGCAATCCTGAACTAAAAGGAATACTTGGTACTTGGAATAGCAGTTTTGGATGTGGGCTCCCTCTGGTGCCCACAGAGGGGGCAGCAGAACCTGCTGGGTTGCAGATGGACACCGACATGAGGCTGCTTGGTGGTGGGGATACACCGGTGGTGCCTCAGGGAAATTATGGATGCTCCATCCCTGACAGGGTTCAACACTAGGCTTGGAGCAAACCACTCCAGTCGAAGGTGTTCCTGTCTACCGTAAGGGGTTTGGAACATCTTTAAGGTCCCTTCCAACTCAAACTGTTCTATAATTCTGGAATTTTGAGTTCCTCCTAACTTAGTGCCTAAAAACCTGAAATATATGGGATGATCATTTTCCAAGATCAGAGTATTGCTTGGTGTGTTTTGATGTGCAACAAAACATTTTGAACCTCAGACAAAGCTGGAATTCAGAGAAGTAAAAGTGGCGCAGAGCATGGTGACAGAGAGAAAAGTCAAACGGAAAACAAAGAGAGACATTCTGCTCTGTTCATGTCTTCTTTATGCTGTTCAAATGAAGGGACTGTATTGTCTTAATACTTTTCACAGAAAATTATCTCTTGATTGGAAGATTGGTTTTACAACTTTTAAAGCAATATCTGATTCATGCCAAGAATTTTTTAAGCAAGGGTTGAGAAGGGCATAGAGTGAAGTAAGCAGTGGTGGATTTAGCAGGAAAGTAACAGAAATAGCTTATTCGCTTTGTAATGTATTGAATGGGTGAGTGAGGATTGGGGGAGAAGAATAATAAGCAATAAATCCAGATCCTATTTGTTTGAAGGAAATTGATTTGAGTTGCTGGAAAGCTTTACCTTGCTAGCAGATGCAGTCACTTGGGAGAACAGTGTGACGTCATTTAGAACGGCAGAATAACGTAATTCTGGCAAAGTACAGTGAAAGGGCAGTGGTAGTCAAGGAGACCAAGGTTTGTTTGCAGTCACATAAAAGCAAATGCTTCACTGATCTTGGCTCAGTCTCCTCTAACAGTTTTTTGACTGTAGTGAGGTAATTGGAAGGATACGTACCATGTAGACAGTGTGACTGTTGTTTGTTGTGGATTAGCTTCAGAATATTGTTTACTATTAGTTTTCAAAAGGTAACCTTTAAATGAATGGAGTGCAAATCCAAGCAAGTGCCATGTTTCAGATAATGGGCTAATTTGTAAAGTTCTTTGTTCATTTTAAAGGATTTGTTTATAGTAGCCCAAATATGGAAAGTTAAATGACAGAACTATCAAGCTAATGCTGACCATGGTCCGAAAAGGCCTAGGCAATGTTACTTAATTTCTGTAAGTCTTGCCACTGCCTTTAGGTGTTGCAGTCAATACCAAAATAAATGACATTGTGTCCTATTTTCAGCCTGGCTTGCAGAGAAACATCCACCTTTTGCTTACACAGCTACCAAATTTTAAGCCTCAGAAGGCCAGAAGCTTATAAGCATAGTAATCCATAATTGTATTCACCCATCTCTTCCCTTTTCATTATTAATACAAGAACTCTTGCTTATTTATATTAAAAGACTATGCTAGAGCAGAAGGATACTCTCTAGTTATTTTAAATGTTGACTATCTTTGATGTCCTTAAGTATTAATGCTTTTGTTGAGGAGGCTTGAGCTGTAATTATATGTCTCGTGCTAAATATTTTAATTTTGATTGTTACTGTCAGAATATTTATGCCCTGCCTTCCAGCTGAACTGGTAAATATTTAATGCTTTTAAAACAGAGTGAAACTTTCTCTTATTTGTCCTCTGTCTTAATTGTGCTACTTTTTTCCCTCCTGTCCCTTACCCCAGGTGTGTCTTCATGCTCAGAAGCAAATTTCATAAGAAATATAAATATGTGGTTCAGTAATGATATAAATATGTACTGATGCTTCAGTAACTGTTTACACCAAGAATGAAATCATTTATAAATGTTTGTAAGGGTTTTCTCAAATTTAGGAAATAGAGAATCAATATCACTGTGCCGGGTACTTGTACTCTGTTTTGTAATTTTGTACGTTGCACTGAGCAAAACCAACTTTGCTAAAGGTAGCTTATACATGCATTAATTAGATAAACATGTCTGCTGTATTTAATATTAATGTATTTTCCTCAATTAATGTTTTATGACTCTGCTGTGAACACCTTTATTCTAACACACTAAGTTTTCCATGTTTCTTTGCCTGCTTTTTCAACAAAGAGGATACTTCTGACAAGATGGATGGTAAGAAATTATTTAGTCTGTCCTCTAATTCTATTAAATATCTAATAAAGTGTCTTTGATGTAAAAGTATTGATGTTTAATGTGTTTGTCTGTTCATTAACAAATTACTATGCTGTTTCCATTAACTCCTGTGTAATCTTGATGTCTTATGTGTTACTGCTGTATCTGTCAATTTCATGAATGTTTGGTCTGTATCAGCAACAGAAATGTTATCAGAAATCTGACATTACCCCTCTTTTTTGAAAGAAACTCTGTTAATTACACAGCAGTTCTGTAATTGTTACATGCTGATTTTAACTAGTTAAATACATGCTTTTGAAGTTATTCTAGCTCCAGTTGATTCCATAATTTTACATGTGAAGTCTTTTTTTGACTTAGCAGAACAGCAGTGGGAGAGCAGAACATGCTTGACCACTTAAGTATAAAAAAAAGCAAAAACCAAAAACTCCTCTCAAAATCTAGGCTTGCTACATAATTTTAAGTGCCTGTAAATTCTGTAGTAAAATGTAATTCTGTTAAAGAATCATTTGTGAAGAAGACCTACCTGTTAAAATAACTTATCAAGTATTCCACCTAAGTTTTAGCACTTGCTTTTTCTTAATTCACTCTGTTACAAACACATGGAGGGACTAAAAAGCAGTTGAGCATCAAGCTTCTCATAGCAATGGTCTGTTTCAGGTGTGTGCAAATAATGCTTCTCATATAATAAAGTGACAGTTCCAGCCTTCTGCTTGGTGATTGTAGTTCTAATTTATTGCTTGGGAGCACTTAACAAGCACTTAACAAGTTTGCTGCTTACTTAATATTTTGTGTGATGTATTTATTAACCATGCGTGTTTGGAAGAATTAGTAGCTTATTGCAAGCAAATGTATCTCATAGAAATTAAAAGAGTAAGAAAGTAGATCTCTAAACCAGAATTCTGAATAATTTCAAAACACAGATGCTTCTTGAAAGAATTGGAGCTGGTTTTGAGCACTGAAGATGTCAAGACTAGTTTAATAAAATGAGGAGCATTTGTACAGGATAGTAGAGTTTGTATTGCTTGTTTCCACATTACATTTCCTTAGGCTACATATAGTAGGCTTTATTTATAACTGTTTGCATAGAGCTGTTACTTATAGCAAATCTTGAGCTTTGGACATTGCCACCAGAAATAAAGGTTCTTAGGGCCTTGTAGGCTTTTTCTTTTTTTTCTGTCCAGAAGTCACAACTAACAATATGTTGCACATTTCTGTTTAAAATATCAAGGAAAGTGCTATACAATTGATCAGAGTTAACAGGTTGGGGTTTTGTTCTAGAAGCTATCTCTAGATATGATCTGCAGGATGGAATGAAAATAGCTCAGCTGTCCAGCTGTAGTTGTATGATACAGCTGTTCTGATCTAACCACCACCAGGAAGAACTAATAATTTTTCCTTTGCCCACTAACCTTTTCCACATATTTTTTGGCTTCTTTTGTTAGCACCTTGTGATATTCCATTATTGATTACTGTAGGTGAACAAGCTCCATAAAACTGATTTCATAAAAGTGACTAATACTCTGTTATTTAGCTTTTGGAGCTGCCAGTGAGCCTTTAGCCATCCAGACCAGCTGGTAGCACAAGGCTGAGAGGAATGAGAAACAGAACCACCCCTTTGAGGAGCTTTTAGGAGTCTGTTAGCCTGTCTTAGGTGTTGCATAGAATCTGCCTTCCAGGATCCATCCCTGCAAGAATGTTGGATTTGGAGAGGTAGCTCAGGCTTTGGAGGGTTTGGTTTTTTGTTTGGTTTTTGCAAACTGACAAATTTTATCTGGCGTACTTTGAGGCACTCCTCCATACATATTACTGTAACTGATTTTTGTGAAAAAGCATTGAAATATACACTGAACTAGTTTTTTAGAGGGAGTTTTTAAAAATAGTTCTGTGAAGATGTTGTAACATGAGAAAACTTTCCCAGCAAATCTGACTGAGTTGAGGCTAGCAAAAGACGCTAACAGATGTTTTCATCATTGTAGTTCTCTTGAAATGCAGAAATGGTAGAGGGTGAAAATAAAAATGGAAGTACCCTTTGATTTTTCTTTTTTAGGGGCATTTAACATTTTTATCATTACTAGTATGCATTTTATTCTGTAATAAGATCTGTTTCAGAGGGACTTAGAGGAAGGACTGCTGATGAGGCAGGGTCCCATCAGTTCCTAGGTACTGATGGGAGAAAGGCTTGTCTGACTCTCACGTTACCAAAAATCAAGCCTTGTTAAGTTCAGCATACTTGTCCAAGTGTGATCTGATTTCAGCAAGCTCATATTCCTTCCATGTCTCTGAGCAAGACTTGATCTTGTGCATGTGCATCTTCAGAGTAATCACAGGCTTAGTTCAGAGAAATCCTCCTTGCTGGCAGTTCCTATCAAATTATCACTGTCCAGTGTGGGAAACACTGTCTCTGTGTTTTTCTCTGAGGTTATGTATAACATTATGTTTCATATTTTCAGAAGAGCTTGCATTGCAGTATTTTTAATGTCTGTTTTGATCTGTATATGTAATTTTTTGACTGATCTCATAGATGTAATTTTCTTCTATTGAACTTTTTGTGGTTTGAAAGGCAGCGATGTGCATTTTGTTCTTGTAAATTGCTCTTAGTGTAGTATGGATATTTTCTTGATTATTTTACTTCAGTTCAGTTATGGAGTTGCTACAAAGAAGCTTTAGCTCTCTTGACTTGAAAAAAATTTGTCAAGATTCCCAAGATTAATCTCAAAAATAAATTTTAAAGACATAATATTGTTTGGAATATCATGTATTTTATTATTTTTTCTGTTTAGGAACAGCTTCTGAAGATGGTAAGAAACTACTTCATTAGACTAGCTAATATTTTCAGCTTCGTATTTTCATTGATACAAATGAAGCTTTAAAAGAGGAATTTGGTGTTTCTTGGGCTTTGTGGAGGTTCATAACAGATATGGGCTTATGGGCTAACAGCTTATGCATCTAATACTTAGTTGTTATGTACTATTTTTAAAATTCTTTTGCTTTTGTTTTAATTCTCAATTATTCATCTGCAGTCTTAAGTACCATTGCTTAACATTTCTACTGTGAAATTACAGGGGCTTTATAATATTGTGTTCATTTTTTAAAGCAAATCTTGTCGCAGAATATTTCATCAAATGTGTTCATGCTCTGGGAAGCAGGTGCTACTATTACTCATCTTGGTGAGACTTGGAAGCTAATTTTCTATCTGTTATTAACATTTAAACCTGCCATTAGTGAATGGATGTAGAGACTCCAAATGAGTTAACAGTTCGTTTAACTCACAGACACAAACAGGTTTATTTTACATTGATAAAACTGAAACAGGTTCCAAGTGATACTTTAACATAGTATTGAAATAGTGGCACTCTGTATTCCTAGGATTTGGGCCAAATTCTGAATGCAGTTACATGCCTTGCAGTCTCACAGCTCTCAGTTGCCATTGCACAGGGATAACTAGTAGAGTTTGGACTAGTTAATCTAAGTTCTTGCTAAGCCTATTATTTTAGTGAATAACCCCCTTTTTCCTGATTCTCTTCCTGTAGACTCTCATCTATGTCTATTCCCTCTACTTGGATGAATAATATTAACTTGGTTGATCTCCAAATTCTGCTGTGGAAAGCCTAAAGAGGCTAGAATTAAAAAACAGTCTGTGTACCTAATTCTTCTAGATCAAATATTGACTCAGCATGTCTAGAAAATATTTTAATTATGCTGTGTTTGAAAGTGTTGAGCTAGATCCACCCTGTACAGACTTTTTGGGGTTTGTTCTTGCAACTTAGAAGAATTGTGGTTAGCATGACTTCGGTTTTGATTTAGTTTTTCTGTTGTTTGAGAGGTCGGCTTGGGAAATGTAGTATACAACACCACTATTTTCTTTTATGAATGATCTTTCAGATAGCTATAATTCAGACAACTGGGATCTTCCTTTTGTTTGTAATTTCTTTTTATGTGCTGGATGTTACAAGGAACATGGCTAGCAAGGCAGAAAGGTTTGACCAAACCCAAGAGAATTTGCCATTTGGCATTCAAGACAAATGTGAATCTCTTGTTTTATTTGTAGAGACTTAATTTAATTTGTCTCTTGCTTGGCTTTTCTATCTAGTAGGAAGAGTAGTATTTCTTTATATCATGTTGTCATGAGAAGTACTTGAATATACTTAGTGTTTGCAAAATGCTCTGGAAGGTTTGGGAAATCCTGTAGAAATCTGTATGACTGGGGCCAGGAAAACAGTATAATCCTCAGTAATAAAAAAGCTAGTGTTTAGATTTCTAAAAAGAGGAGTGAAGTTAGGAAGAAAGCTCAGAATCTGTAGTTTTATGACAGCAAAAGCAAAATTAGAAGCTCAGGTAAACATGAGAAGACTGTACCTGATACAGCAACATTAGTGTTTGCAGTGCATTATATTGAGTAGCCTTCCCCTTTTTTAATGTAGTCAACATATATGTGTTGGAAGGAAGAGCTAGCTAGCCAGTCCAGGGTGTTGAAGGTGTAATGTGCAAATTGTTTGCTGAAACATGTAGCATCAGAGGAGAAGTATCTTGCTTCCTCAGCTATTAAATTCCTCAAGGTGTTCAAATTTCTACTAATTATCCCAAGCGAATTGCCACCAGTTGAGTTACATTGTGCTTCTTTTATATGCAGAAACTTTAGAAAATATTAGTAAATACTACTGATGCTCTGCTTCCTGCATGACTGTGAAAAACTGATTTAATGCCATTTTTCTTTTCTAGGTCGTATACGATCAAAGCTCTCAACCCCTTCTGTTGGTATTGGAAATTCTAAAACAGATTCCAGAGGACGGAGTAGAACCAAAGTGGTGTCACAGTCTCAGCGTATGTATTTTCTGTTTATCAGTTATACCTCATTAAGAGACCAAATGCTTAAGCATATATTCATTGACCAATGGCTACAGTCAAAGTTAATTTTTTTTTAAAAAGCTACATACTGAGTTGTTGTTCTGTGCCTTAGGTTCATCATCGCCAGACCAAAATGAAGGTATTTTTTTCAGTGTTTTGGGTCAGTGGTATTTGCATGCTTTTATGATTCATGTTGTTTTTATCTGGACAAAATAGTAGGTTAGGTCTTAGTTTGCCAGTTAAATTAGATAATGTTGCAGGAAGTGAAATCTGTCCATAAATTCTGTCTTCAATTATAACTTCTCAACATTCTTTTCCCCCCTTTTCTGACTTCCACAACATGAAAGGCCACTAAACATGGACTAGTAATAGAGAAGAATAGGTAGGCTGAATGGTGTCCTTATTGTTACCTGAGAGACCTAATTTTCCATTTTTAAAATAGTCTTATTTTAGCCAGAAATACCTATTTTCTTTAGGCTAGGCACTGCTGTAGTTCTTGGTATAAACCCCTTTTTTTTTGTATTACAGCTCTTACCTTTACTTAACTCTTCTTTGAAGGAAAAATACTAACCCCTCATGTTACAATCAGTTACTGAGCTTTTCTTAAGTCAAAGGGTTAAAACAAGCAAGTTAATGTGTGTCAGCTAATTCACAGTAATTTTCTGTGTGTGTTTAGCAACCAAAGCAGATCTAGCCAAGCACTTGGTCATTAATTAAAAAGACCCGATTACCTCACGCTCTTGGCACGGGCTGACCTACAGCAATTCGTCCACATATCTGATGTCTCCAACAGACATTTTCTGATTAAGCTCTGTAGCATTTTCAGATTCTTGTCTGTCTAATTAAGTGAAATTTAACTAAATTAATGAAAAGAAGACAAATGCACAATAAAATTAAAATTAACTTCCCACTTGTATAAATTGTCAGATCTAATGTTCTAAACCAGTAGGTTTTACCAGGTTTAAAATTTTCATTACTGATATTTTGCTATCACTGACCATATCCACCTTCTTTAATAAAACCCTTTAATAATTTGTTTAATGGCAGAAGCATTTGTCTTCATAGCAATGACTGCATCTATTGTAAATAGAATGATTTTAGAAGTTAAAAAAGCAGGTAGTAGCTGGTTTTTTCCTGTTAGAGTACTTGCCTTTCCGTTTTGCATAATTTAATTTCCCAGCAGTTGGATCAAATCTGATCTAGTGTTTGTAGGTTTTCTGAAATAAAGCTTTCAAGCAATGTGAACAGATAAATGTACCATGCTAAAAATTCAGTGGAGTTACTACTAAAATTCTACTACTACTACTACTACTAAAATTCAGTAGAAGAAGTTCCCTTAAGGGCTTTGACAGTACTCTAGTCCCAGAAGTGTTTGTGAAATGAGAGCCTGAAAACGAGTTGTTATTGGCTGGGACAAAAGTTCTGCAAAACTTGTTTTACAGATTGCTGCACTGTACCATAAGCAAAGAATATGTGAATAATTTTAGAGGGAGGGAAGGTAAAGTTCCCTCTAATCCATTTTTCCTTTCTAATAAAGCTATAAGCAGTGTCTGTAACAATTTTTTCATTAGTATTAGGAAAGTTTGGAATTAAGCTTTTTGAAAATACTTTTGTACTTTGAATAGATTTGGTAAATTCATGAAAAGTGAATATGTTTGATAAATGTCTGGGGAAGGGGATGAATTTAGGTAGCAATATAATACTTTATATGCTACCTAAATTCATCATTCATTATTAGATGATGATCACTGTCATATAACATTAAATAACTGTATATCCAGAGAAGCAAAATTAGGCCTTTCCAGTTTTTTTACTAATAATGATGGGTTGGGTTGGGTTTTTTTTCCATTTTTCCACATTTTTATGGCTAAAGAGATAAATTGAGATAACTAGATCTGACTACATGTGATGATGTGTGAAAATTAAATGCATGAATGCATCTTTACAGCCTTTTATTACTACTTCTGTTCAAAACCGATTGCTTCAAATAGCTCATTATAACCTGTCAGTGGGGGAGAACAAGAATTCTGAGATGTTTTAAGGAAGATAAACAGGGCAAATACAAAGGGACAGGTGAAAGAATTCTCAGGCACTGTATGCCAGCTGTTTGGGTGATGCTTCTTTATGTGACTGAAAATTTTCACAGCATTGTGTGAAGCGTGATGCTTAATGTTTCCATGCAGGGGGTTGTTTTGGTTCCCCAGCTGATATAATGAGAGAATAGCTTCATACTAGATTTAAGCTTTTTTTATTTTTTAAACCACTCTAGCACAGATGCTTTTTTTTTAATTTTTGGGTTACAGCTATCTTTTGTTCCAAAATCATTTGATGAAAGACTTGCAAATTTGAATGCTTTTACAAAAACCATTTTTTTAGGGTTTTAAAAGCCCTTTACTCTTCTGTTTTTAAATTAACATAAACTAAATGCCTCATTATTTTACTCTTACCTGTGGAAAAAAATGGTTACATTTTTTTCCTCTTCTTTCCAGTTTGGTTGTTGGGTAATTCAACAGGGTCTGCTAAAATTGCATTACAGTCAACATTCAGAGAATTTCTGAATGGAAGCAAATTCTTCCTTTTGTACTCAAGATTACTTTTAAAGAGGAAAACGAAGAATTCTATGCAAGTCTTTTCAGTTATGCCATTGTGAATTTGGTTTTGTTGTTTTGGTCATCCACCGCACCTGCAGCTCAGTTCCTTTACTGTTGTGTCTCAAAAACAAAGTTTTGATCTTGTGTGCAATTTTGTTCAGCTGTTGAACTTCTTGAACCTTTCTGGCAGTGTAATATTCTTTTCAGTTAATATCCAGGCTACAGTTTCATGCTTAATTCAAATTTAATTCTTCAGTGTTGAGTTGTTGATTAGAAAGCTGAAGAATTGTAATTTGCTTGTGCAGCTTTGCTTCATCTGCTTTGTACATAGCATCTGAATTTAATTCTTCAATTGTGGAAGCTACTTAATAGCACTGCTTTAGCATAACTCCTTTGTGGCTTTTTTTCCTGTGTGAAATGACTAAAGCTTTCTTATTTCCATTTGCCATTCATTTTTTAATCTGCTCTGCTCCCTCCCTCTTCATGGATTATAAATCCCTACCCTAATCCTGCCTTTACACTTGTTCAGGATCACAGTCTGCTAACCCCATTGGTGGTAAGAGTCTACAGAATTCGTGTACACATCATTGTTTGATCACCTGTTTGACATACCTCATTTAAGGACCCTATTCAGCAGAAATTCTGGCTGGCTTTTTTCCATATGCTGCACATGTGCAGTCCTTATGTAGAAAGCAGGAGAGATAGGAAGGGTTTGTCATTTTGGAGTAGTGCCTTAGTAATCTTTCTTTCATCATTCAGCTCACTTAGATCTGCTGGTAGTGGCGATACTGCCAAGAGTATGCCAATGCTGCTATTTTCAGTCTATGTAGCTGCATTCAGTTTGTTTATGCTGCAGTGGTGCACTTTGCAGGTCAGATTATAAAAAGATGAAATAAAGTGCTAGAACAAGTGGTTACATTTCTTCTGAATATTCTGAGAAGAGTAAGTTCTTTTAGATTTCTAGACCTCTTGAAGAAAATGTACAAGTCTGCAGCACAGTGAAACCTTCAACAATATTTTTATTGTTTTAAAGAGATATAAAACAAGAAGTAAGCATAGTAATATCAGGTCTAAGTTGAAATACCCTGATATGAAGAAACTGTCAAAACCTTAATTTTTGCACATCACAGCAGTTTTACAGGTTTGGTTATTTTTCTGTTGCTATAGAAGTTGTGCTTGTTTTTTTCCAGGCTGCATAACACTTTATTTATTATTTCTGCTGAATAGGCTCATAGTTTGGAAAGGGATTTTGCAAAATAATCATTTCAAGTTTGAATTCAAACAATGAATCTGAAAGTACATGCATGGCACATTTTTTAGATTTCTCTCTTCCACCCAGCATATGTTTTACTTTGTTTGGGATTTTGTTTCTATTGCCATATAGTCAAGCTTTAGTCAACGTCTATCTTTTTTTCAACGTGTCTCATAAGAAGTAACCCATGAAATTCACTTGAAAAGTTGCATGTTGTCTGTAAATCTGATAGCATCACTGTGGTCATACAGTTACCTGATTTTAAAGATTAATGAAGAGTTCAAATCTGTATGTAATTAGTCTTTGATTGAAATTCTGTTTTGCTTTTTGTTTGTTCATATCTCTTGAATTGTACAGCTGGAAACCATATATTAATATCAGCTGGTGATAAAAATTAGTTACAGCTAGGGAAGAATGAATTCTTTGTTAAGAACTTAGAACTTAAATGTTCTGTAACTGAAATATCAAAATGAAAGAAAAGTGACCAGAAACTACAGTTTCTTGTAGTGATACTATAGCAGGAACATCTGTAGTACTTCGTACTATACAGTTTTAATAACAGAAATTTAAGGCACTTAAATATATCCTAGTCAATTTTTTAGCTTGTTTAAAACTAATTGAAGATTTTCTTTAATTTGTGGGGTAATCTCCACAGAAATTACATGAGTACTCTGTCTTCTGTCATATTTTATTTAATGTCACAATAGTCCTTGAAGACACCATGCATTTAAAAGCAAGGGAGAAGATTTCAAATGTTAGGAAAATCACATTAATTAATTCTAACATTGCTTGCGTTGGAAGAGCTGAGATAGTTATGAAATCCTAGTTTAAAATTTCTCCCTTTATCTTTCTAGCAGGTTTGTTTGTTTGCCCTTCTTTATTAATAGAAAATGTGGTTAGTGAGACCACATGGCTTAAAAAAAAAATAAACATGTTCATTTTAGGGACCGTGGAACTCTTGCTGAAGTCCAGAAATAATAATTGTGGTTTCTTGAGGTGTAGTGCTCATGTAGTGCTAAATACCATGTCAAGTGCTTCCTTGCATCCATAATTTTAACTACCTTGTATGCAGTACTGTAAGAACTCGGACCAAGGCATTCTATTTCATGTTTTTATCTTGTAAGTTTTTCCTGATCATTTCAATCTGCCACCACCTTCCTACTAACTTCAGGTATTATTTTCTTTTTAACCATGATTGTTTGTCCACTGTGCTGTTGCTAATATTTATTCATTCCACCTTCAGCTGGCAGTAGATCCGGGTCTCCTGGAAGAGTTTTGACAACAACCACACTTTCCACTATGAACACAGGAGTTCAGAGAGTGTTGGTGAATCCTGCAGCTGCACAAAAACGGAGCAAAATCCCGCGAAGTCAGGGATGCAGTAGAGAAGCTAGTCCTTCTAGGTTGTCAGTAGGTAAGAGTCACCAAATAACTCTTAGTTTTTTTATAGCCCTTCTTGCTTTCAGTGCTGGATATCGACAGCTGGTATTTAATTATAGGCGGATGAACGAAATAGACTATATCCCAGAATGTGGCTGCTTTCTGAGACTAGTTTTTGATACACAAGACAGTTTTAAATTGAAGCTGCAATTTGAGGTTTTTCTTGTCAGAATGTTGTAGTTGTTCTTTTCCTCACCTCCCTTTCTTCCTTCTCTTTTTTTCACTTCTTGTCCAAAATATCCATATCCTTTGAATGAAAGTGTAATATCATTTTGAAAGTATGTTCTTCATTACTTCATGTCTTCCGTGTATGTGTGCGCACATGTGTAAATGTTACGATGCTAAAATGAAGGTTACATGTCTTCAGCCTCAGTATAATTCGATTACACTTCATTGCAAACAATGTTATTGAAAAACATCTGTTGATTTTAATGGTATGGATGCTGTTGTTCCTTTGTATTTTTGATTTTTATCTTAGCCACATAATTTTATTTTCCTTCTTTATAAAGCTGTGGAGTTTTCCATTGGTGCTACTGTTGATTAACTTGATCTTGAGCACAAATTCTGAATCATTACTCAATGTTGCTTGTTTATTATCCGTCCTTTCTAAAGGGTCTTTCAACCATTCTGTAGAGTTAGTAAATTTCCATTTTAAGCTGTGCAAAAAAATCATTTTATTGAAATGACTACACTTAGACTAACCCAGCACAATCAAGAAAGTCTGTAAAAAAGGTTATGACTTGAAATGCGACATAATCATCAATGTCTTTTCTTAGAAATGCATCTTTGATCTTACTGCGGAACAGAATTGCATTAAAACTGCAACTTTTCTTATGTCTTCTCCCTTTGTGCCGCTGTTTGTCTGCACCCTGAATCATACTAGCGCGAGGCAGCCGCATTCCTCGGCCTAGTGTGAGTCAGGGCTGCAGCAGGGAGGCCAGCCGTGAAAGTAGCAGGGACACGAGCCCTGTCCGCTCTTTCCCGCCCCTCGGTAAGTACTGGAGCCTTGTTGTGCATGGCTGTCCCTGCCCTTCCTTACGTGCGCCTAACGAATCCGTGCCTCCTTCATTTAGCTTCTAGCTGGCCACCGTGTTCTCCCTTCCTTTGGCTCTCTCCCCACTTACCCCGATGGAGGATTGACCAGTGTGTGAATGGGCTGCACACAGGAAAAATACAGGCTTTGCTAGGCTTAGGCTGAAGTACCAAGTCTAGAAAGGTGTGTGATGCACGGTGTCTAGATGCCATTTTGAAAAGGCATTCCTGGTTTTGGATGTTTTTTTGAAATTGCGTGTTTCTGTTTTCATTGCAGCACTCATTGCTCAGGTACTTGTGTGCAGAGGGTCAGCTGTTGCTCAAAATTTTCTACCTAGTCAATGATTATTTTAGTGTGTACAATACATGTGTGAAATTTTAGTGTGAAAATACATTTAATTATGTCCCCTTAGCTATATGGTCAGCAGCTTGTTGGTATGACACAAATGACAAGGTTTTACAAGATTATCAGTCTGTTTCTGAGATGCCAATGAGGCACAAGGATATTAGTTGGTAATTACCTTAACATGTTGATTAATGATTAGGGAAGGTTTTCATGTATCTTTGTCAAGGTTACTACAAAGTTGATAGTAAATTTTGCTTAAAGTGCCTTTACATATTGGGTTTATTGATTGAGTTTTTGTTTTGCTTGTTTGGTAATATTAAACTCTGTGCAATTGAATCTGAAACAGATCTCTTTTTGGTGTTACCTTTGTCTGAAATAGTCTTCAGTATGTATCCTTCTTATTTGCTTTCTTCAGTGCAGTTTACAGTTAAGGACTTCATAATACTAGCTGTTCAAAATAGTCTGAAAACAGTAAATCTCTGGTTTCTATCTCAAATTGAGGCACCCTGCTGTACTCCTAATTAGCACTGGACATGTGTTGTGGTCTGTTAGGGCTTCCTGCCAGCCATGGTTTTATTGGGAGAGTACAGATTAATTGAATGAAAGCTGTTACGGTAACTAATGCTAGTTTGCCCAGATGCTGTTTAATTGGGAAATGATACTAAAAGTAGATGTTACGCAGGATCCATTAGGAAACCTGTATTTTTTTCTACAACATGGCTGGGAGATTGTGTTGAAGTACATATGTACCTTCTGTTCTTTCAAAAACAAGGGTGTTTTGCAGAACTCTTGGTGCTTCTTTTGCTGCATTACAGCTTGATTTCAATTAAATGCGTGCAAGATCAGATTTACATTTTGTAATTGGTCAAATGCTTGCTCTCTTAAGAAGTCCGTATTAGGCAATACTCTGAGATGTGTTACTGGGATAGATGCCACTGGAGGTTTTATTCTTATTTATGGAGATCAGTTTGATGATTCAAATATGAAAACAAGTACCTATACTAGTGAAATAGATGGAATTGTCTGGTAGTACAGAGAATGCAAAGTAACATGTATAGGAATCCAGCACTGGTTTAAAAAAAAAAAAAGGAAATTATACTGGGAATGGGAATAAATTAAGATTTCTTTTAGTATTACTTTTTATTTGAATGATTTAAAATGTAATTCATTGTTTTGTTGGTACAAGTGAAAGATGAAATAAGGCAAATTCAGCTCTGTGTATCTAGAGGCAGTTTGACATGGGGATGAATAGGGAAATGTAACTTGCTTTGCCACTGTCAGCACAGAAATTTTTGCTTATGAACATAAATTAGATAAAATTTAGTTTAATCCCCCTTTAGGGTATAAAATGACCTAAATGCTGCATAATTGCTTCACTGTATACATTGGTATGAAGTGTTTATGTAATCTCACATCTCAGTATAATGTTATTAACTGGGAGATAAGAGCCATTAAGAATCAAGTGATTTGTAATTTATATAGAAGTGTCTACTTTTGTTAAATATAGTCAGTATTAAATATCAGACTAGTGTAATGTCCATATTTTAGCTAAGAAATCATCTTAGTGGGAGTCCATTTAAAGTCTTATTTTGATTCACACTTTAAAAAATTGCAACTGCAAAAGTAAATACTTGACAATTTCTGCAGTTTGAGGGGTGCAAAGAATATTTTTGAAAATATGTTTTGGAATGAGGTATGTTTCACCCTATATGTAGTGCTTTTTCTCACTGTCTTAAAAATTTGTCCAGCATATTTCAGATGTATGTAGGGGCAGGAGATGTTTCAAGTTTCTTGCGTAAAGTTTGAATTTTTAGTTTCCGGTTGAACCTGTAATTTTCGGCGTTCATTGGTGGAAAGTAAGGGGAAGGTTTATCCAATTAATGCTTGTATTTAAAGAGCTGTCAGCTGTGTTGTGACATCCTCAGTCCTGTCTCTTTTTCCATGCTGAAATGCACTTTCTAAAGAGCCAAGCATTCCATGAAGCATTAATTCCAAACTGAAATGCCCTCTTCAAACATCTTCATGTAGGATTAGTTAGAAATAAAGTACATCACTGTACCTTATGTGAGGAGTGGAGAACTTAATGTGGAAAGACACAGAGATGTTTCTGGGATCTTTACAGTGCGTTGTGGAAGTGCACTCAGGTTAAAAGGTCCTTCCCAAAATGCTGTTTGGTCCATGGTTCACCTGTATGTGATTCAAATCAGACTCTTGAGTGGTCTTTGTTAGTCAGAGAAAAGGATGGTTAATTTGATTTGTCTGTTTGTGCTAGTTTATATATCAAGAAGGAGTAAGATATGTGCATTTACAGTTATTTATTAAATGGTAAGATTTTATCTGGGAGTTTTGCCCCTGTGGATGGACATTTCCATTCAAGTTTAAATTGTCATTTATGTGGCGATAAAATTCTAACTTAAGTGAACTGAAGAAAAAAGTTGAATTGTTTAAAAACATATATAATTTAAAAATTACTTGTTTTAAGAAGGAAAATACTAGCAATGGTGAGTCAGCTTCTTCAGAATCACTAAAAAAGCAGTTTTATACAAGTGCCATAAGGAGTGGGGTACTCAGTTTTATTCAGAAATCCTTAAGGATCTTCAGTTTCCAGTTGCTATAACTTTAAAGAATCTTAATAAGCTGTAGTAACTAACATGTGTTTCAGCTTCACATTTTATTTATTTAAATAAAATAGTAAGTATATGAATTATTAATTGCATTGGTTGGCTTATGTTAAACTTTTAATTATAATTGGCTAATTTTGACTTCATTTATGTAGTGGTGAGTTTTTACTGAGGTTGAGTTGTCTGCAACATAGGCAAGTATTCAAGTGTGTACAGATTGTCAGCTGCCAACACAGCAGGTTCGTGCAGGAGGCACTTTTTGCAGATAATGTTTGATATGTGAGCTCTGGCTCTGACTGGAGCACATAGGATTTAGTTAAGTCCACAATGCAAGACCAGTGTCAGTGAACAGATGACTTTTTCTGATGATTCTGTTTGTGTGTGAGTGTGTGCATGTGTGTCTGTGCACCTTTTCTTCTTTGAACTTAAACGTACTTGCTTTTACCCTGCTCTTAATCTTGTAAATTTAAAAAAAATTTATGCATGAAATGTCCAGTGTACATAAACCTACATAATCATATTTGGTATAATCAAAGAACTACTCTGAAGATTTTTGCTCCTGTTTAATACTCAATTTCTTGTGCTTAAGCTGAATCTTTTTGATAAATATTCTCTTGTTCGTCTGAGCCGTTATTGCAGCACTTTGATTCCATGGTCATAGATAGGGTTTATTTAATCCTGTTATTGCAGCTTCCAGACATCACTCCAGATCCACTGGTGCCCTCTACGCTCCTGATGCTTATGGGGCCACAGGTGAAGGATGAGTACCCTTTGCTGTCATCTGTGCAGTCATCCTGGATTTTTTTTCCCCCACCCACTCCGTTATTCTCATAGTTCAGTTTTAGAAAGCATTATTTATATTAATTTGAGTTTTGTGGTTTTAATAATCCAGATAGATGTGTTTATGTTGCTAGATTTTGTCTCCACCCTCATCCTCCAATGTTAATCCTTTTTTTTTCTTAACAACATTTTTTTACTTGCAGAAAACCTTTTTTTAGTTTTCTATTTTTTAGTATTTGTAGAGCATTCTTTGTGCATGTAGTTTTCTAATCAACAGTCTCAGTAGCTTTCCTGTTGTATTTGCTTTCTTTCTAAATAAAAACAAAAACCCAAAATGAAGAAGACATTAATTTTTAAAAAGCAAAACTTCTTTCAAATAAAACCATTGTTCTATAGGGGTTTTTCTATGTGATGTTGCAACGGAACGTTTGTAGGTGACTGGCTTTTTACTTGAATTCTTACTTTTGTCTGCACCACTAAAGACTTCAGAATGGAAATGGTTATTTTATCCAATACATAACTTATTTAAAATGCTAAGCAAATGCTTTTCTTCTACTTGGGTTTTTATAAGTAAGTGTGATGTTTACATCCCAGCTTTCTATTGTGATTGAATTCTTGGTATTTATTTTTTGTTGTTGTAACAGGTACTGGCTTCGGAATTAGTCAGTCGAGTAGATTATCGTCATCAGTCAGTGCTATGCGAGTTCTGAACACAGGCTCTGATGTAGAAGAGGCAGTAGCAGATGCTTTGGTAAGAATCACACACCTACCTTGTGTAGGTTACAGGCACTTCGGGTTTTTGCTTCCTGTACATTAGCAAGCAGGAGAACTTGTAATTTACTGTTTTATTAGCTTCTCGAGGGGGAAAAAAAAAAAAGGAAAGAAACTGAGTTGCTGGAGCTGCAAGTATTGGAATTTTCATTCCCTGCAGAAAAAAAAAAGTTTTAACTTTGGAGAAGCATGCTTTTTTTCATGGCAGATAGGAAACAGTCTTGGACTGTTTGGTTGGAGTGGCCTAAGGAGCTACTTGAGCAGGCAGAACTAACCAACAGTTTCTCACAACAGCCAGAAAAACTTCAGGATAGGTTAAAGGCTTATTAGAGCTGGGAATGATGACAGCTAAAGCCCTCTGCTTACCAGAAGCCTGGCTGCCATTTAAAGTTTTTCTGTCTGACAGCAAGTGAAATTGATGCTGAAGAGAGAAAATGATGGCTGGGCAGTCAAGCCCCACCCAGCCACTTTCTCCCTCCTCTGCCACTGGTGTCAGAGAGAGAATCAGGAGGGTAAAATCCAGAAAACTTGTGACTTGTGATAAAGACAGTTTAATATGGAAAGTAAAACCCATGCACCCAGGCAGAGCCAAACAACAAATTGATTCAATGCTTCCCATGGGCAGGCAGGTGCTCAGCCGTCTCCAGCAGAGCAGGGCCCACCACGCATAGCAGTGACTTGGAAAGACAAACACCATCACTCCACACATCCCCCTCTTTCTCCTTCTTTCCCCCCCTCCCCCTTTATATACTGAGCATGATGTCATGTGGTCTGGAATGTCCCTTTGGTCAGTTTGGGTCATCTGTCCTGGTTGTGTCTCCTCCCACTGTGAATGGGCTGTGTCCCATTCACCCCCAGCTTCCTGGGCAGCGTGGCAGTAGGGAAAGCAGAAAAGATCTCAGCTCTGTGTGAGCCCAGCTCAGCAGTAACAAAACCTCTCTCTATTATCAACCCTCTGTTCAGCACAAATCCAAAACACAGCCCCATACCAGCCACTGTGAGAAAAATTAACTCCAGCCAAAACCAGCACAGCAGGTAGCATCTCATAAGTTTAGTTTTTATTCTCCTTTGTTTTCAAAATGTTACACTAAGTTAAAACTGGTTATTCTCTGTTTTAAGCTGTACTGTTCTTTAAAAAGGTGGGTGTGGCTCCTCTGCCTTCCTGCCCATGTAAGCCAGACTGAACACATGATGTATTTTGCTATTCTGATATTTACATCAGCAAGCTGAAATCCTCAGTTAATTTAAAATACTGATGCTATGAATCAGGTACATTCTTATCAATTATTGTATGCTATTTGCATCTCATTACATACTTTTAAGTATCTGTTTTCTAGTTGCCAGAATGCTTTAAAGAAATGGTTATTTCTCTGGTTTAAGAAAAACTGTTATTTTGAAAGTTAGTTAAAAACTACGAGTTAGACTCTAAATTGCAGTCAGATATAACTCAATAGATAGAAACAAAATTTCAAAATCTGCAGAACTCTGTCATACTCTTAGTATGATTATTTATTGATTTCTTGGTTAATACTTCTTTCTTGACATATTAGTTTAAAATTTGTGTGCCTTCACTGGCATAGAGATCAGAATATCTGTGAAATCTTGCATAAGAGGTCATGGTGAAATTGAGTGCATTTTCCCCTTTCTGTTATTACAAACTTGCTAAAAGTTCAGCATTAATGGTGAATGCTGGTTTGTAAACTGGCAGTCAGTCTGGATTTTGAAATATGGAACAACAGAAGAACAGTCCATGGAACATGGAAATTTTCTGGCTGTAACTGGAAAGCCTGTGCTATGGTCCTCTCCACACAGGTGCATCACAAAGAGTATCTTCAGTACTTTTAGCAGCCTCCTAGTTTTCAAATTTGCTGGGCAAATAGTAAGAACATAAGTTGAGGAGAAAGTCGTGTTTCCAATGACTGCTCTTGAGGCTTGAATATGTTGTGCTTTGTTGAAAGAATAAAGCTTCTTCAGAGAAACTGGTTTGCATTACCTGGATCCAAAATATCATGATGCTGCTAGATATGTTAGAGGAAAATTGGTTTGTGTATTTTAACTAGAGTATGATATTACAAAGAAGGATCAAGAACAGCATCATTTTGTTATTGTAGTACTTGCATGCCTGGTTCCTTGCCATGCTCTAAATGGTACAGGTTGTCCTGTACAACTGGCTCCATGTAGATGGAAATCTGGTAATAAACACCCTTATTGTTTTATCATAGACTGAAGATTCACACTCATAGTGGTATTTTTAAAGGGTAGAATGTAGAGTCCTGACATATGTAATAAGTACAAAAATATTCTAGATTGTGTTACTCTTTTTTATTTTATGAAAAATACTTGGCCAGTTTTAGTGGTGATGAAGCCAAAGAGGTGTCAGTCATCTGCCTAAATCTGTTTTGAATATTGCTGTATAAAATGCAGCAGTAATGGAAATCTTTGCATGTTTTTGTCTTTTACTTTAGTACCATCCTTGGCATTTCAGATTCATTTCTCTTTTCCAAAACACTTAACATCTCTGTCATTTTTCCCTTCAGTTATGCTCTTACACATGTATGTATGCTCATTCTGTTGACAGTAAGCCTGCTTGTTACCTGTTGTATTGATTAGTTTGTGATTATTATTGGGATATCCTTTACGTGATCCCATGGTTTAAAATGAGATCCTGGTGCAAATGGCAGTGGTAAGTAAAGGGAAAATGGTCACTTATACTGCTGCTTCTTTGAGTAGGTAACAACACTGAGTTTTTAAATGCTGACTTCAGCTCCAGAGTTTGAATGGCAAGAGCTGTTTTGCAGAGGTGTGTGGGTTTTTTCCATTTTAGTGTAAACAGATTTTTTTTTTTTTTTCCCCCTCTGACCTTTGGTATGTTGTGTTTTGTTTTGTTGGCTTGTTTTTTGTTTTAGGAGATTTGAAATTTTGCATTATGTAATCAGTTTTTTGTAGAATATTGACTGTAATTGTTGCAGTGAAAAAATTTAGATACTAAACAAATAGTTCAAATCAAGGTTTTTTACTTAACTTAAAGTTAATTGTAAAATAACAGTTGACTGCAGGTGTTAAGTTAACATGTTCATGCTCAAATATCACTGCATAAGACACAAAGATTTTGACAGAGGAGTCTTTGTTACCAATCTGCCCATGATATGTAATATTTTACTGGAAATGGAAGCTTAGCAAACTACTTCTTGACAATATGTGATATGCTAATCAGACACAGAGAGCTAAGAAAATTTACAGTAAGACTATGTGTTGTCCAGTGGCAGGAAGTTTATTACTCGCAGTGCTGCTATGCCTTACCTTCCTGTTCTCAATTTCTGTTTCTTTTCAATAATTTACTGCTAACAGCTCTTAGGAGACATACGGACTAAGGTATAGAAACTATTTTTCTTCTTTAATAGTTCAGTATTTTGCTATTAACATGTTTGATACAAAATGAGTTAAAATGTCAAAATTTGTGTAGACCTCTGATTCTTAAATTCTGTAATGTGTATAAAGCTATGAAGTGAAATAACTAACTTGCAACAGTCTTTTGTCACCCTGTTAGGCAATTTCATGGGTTCTTGAAAGAAGACCTAAAGTTAAATGTTTCATCAAACATATGTCTTCCCTGCGTCTGCTTTGGGTTTATGTTTGGAATACTATGCAAGCCATACTTGAGAATATTTTCATTAACTTGGTTTGACCTGCTGAATGGTTGAAGCCATTTGTCACTGCAGGGAGTAGGGGTCACACTGGTTATTGAAATTGTCGGTCTTTCGACCCATTATGGGTGTGTTGTGTTACCCTTGGAGAATCAGTGCTGATCTGGGGTGTCTCTGTACAATAGAAGAAGCCCGTGCGAAGAAGGTATGAATCATACGGGATGTACTCAGATGATGATGCCAACAGTGATGCATCAAGTGCCTGTTCAGAAAGGTCCTACAGCTCCAGGAACGGGAGCATACCGACCTACATGAGGCAGACAGAAGACGTGGCTGAAGTCCTGAACCGCTGTGCCAGCACCAACTGGTCAGAGAGGAAAGAAGGCCTTCTAGGCCTGCAGAACTTACTAAAGAACCAGAGAACTCTAAGGTAGGATCGCGTCTTAATAGAGAAACATCTTGTTTCAGTGTTGGTGGGAGGCAGGGGGAGAGGGAAGGCAGGGTGTGTCTTTGAGAGTAAGATGGGGGAAGGGACAAGGAAGCTTTTCTCAGTTCTAGCTACTAGTGTATATTTAAATACTAGTGGATGTAGGGAATTAAAAATTGTGAATTCTTACCATACAGAACGTTCATAAGATGCTTTCATCTACTTTCAGTAGAAGGCCTTTTTTTATTATTACTATAATTTTGGGGGTATTTATTCAGAAGAAATTGTTTACTACTTGTTTCTAAGAACACCTTTTCCACTATTTGCCCTGTTACAAAAGTATGGTATAATGTATGAGACAGTTTAAAAGACATTTATAGGTTTGAAGTCTCATTTTAGATGAAAGCTATTATATTTTTATCCATGTCTGAGCAAAACTTAATTTACTAGGTTATTTGATTGAAAGCTATTACATTTTTATCCATATCTCGAACAAAACTTAATTTACTAGATTATTTGATTCAGTATTTACTCTTGATTTCACTGATTGCTGTGCATTAGTGTTCTAGCAGAACAAGCAGGGGAGTTGACTAATGTGTTGTTGTCGTTTTGACAGTCGTGTTGAGTTGAAAAGATTGTGTGAGATCTTCACAAGAATGTTTGCTGATCCTCACAGTAAGGTATGTGTAGGTTTTTCTTATTTTCAGTAAATTTCTGAAAACATAAATTAAAAGAAAGGCAGTTATGGTAAATTACATCAGTGATATTTGCATATGTAAAATTTCACAAACAGAAGTAATTAATGGTATCGGATTTCAATTAATTGAATTTGGAGTTTTGAACAAGATAATTCTCCCCCCTTTTTCTGCAGGATCATGTAAATAAAGTGAAGGTTAATGTCATATAAAATGCATTGAAGTAGTTCAGCAGTTTGTGCTCAAAATCTGTGTTTTCAAGAACTTGTTGTTTACAGAGACCACTTCAACAAAAGTATAGATTTTCTCTCAGTGAGAAGAAAAGGCTCTGCACTAATTCAAGTTACAAATAAAGTTGTCTGACTAAATCATACATAATCAGATAAACTATGCCAAATGTGTACTTATTTATTTTCTAGGACATTGTGTATTATCATAGCTTATGATGTCTTCCATGAATATCGTAGATAGGGCTCGCAGTTGAGACTGGTGAATAATTTTTACATCATTTTTTAAATACTTTATAAGGAGACTATACTTTGATATGAAAGAAACTGTGGTGTTTTATTCAGTTTTACTCAGGTAATGACTCAGTATGGATGATATAACAAGAAAAATAATGCTTCTGTTTCCTAAGACAATTAAAATCTTTTTAAGTGAGTTACGTTGCCTGATAGTATTTTTACAGTTTTTGCGGAAGGTGGGTTACTAGTACAGCTTGATTAAAGTTTCTCATAGCAGAAGGAATGCAATTAAGGAAGGAGCCTAATAAATGTAATAATGTAAAAAAATACCTAACTCTATATTTATTTAATTATAGGCTTGTTTGGAAGAAGTGGTATCTTTTATTTTGAGTATAACATGTCCCACTTTGTGTCGGTGTTTCAGAATTGATAAAATTATAAAGTTTAATTCATAATAGGGTATTATTTCAGAAGTATTGACTTTTCCCAGAAGAATCCTGAAAAACTAGTTTGATTATGCAATACATTTTACGTATTTTTAAGTCTTCATTATTGCTGCAATGGAAAATTAAATTCAGAGTGATGAGAGGTTTTGACAGGTTAACTTTAGTGTTCACCTGTCCTCTTTATTTTTGCTGTTGGAGAAGGTGACAGCTGCGATCTCTGACACCATGTATTTTGGAAATAACTTGCACTGCCAACAGCAATGTGGTATTAAAGTTGATCACATACTGCAGAAATCCAGAAGAAAAAGACTAAACCAAGCAGTTAAAAAGAAAAAAAACAGTACATAAAAAGTCAAAGCAGAGGAAAGAATATCAAATGTTGAAATATTGCTAGAATATTTACTTTTTAAATAAAGTAATTACCAAATTGTTAATAGCAGCTTGGTTTAATTCTGCTTGTTCTGTGGTACTTAGTATTGCAACAGTGCAGTACTAATGTAGGCTAGATTGTGTGATATGTCAGAGCTAGAAGAGCGTTTTACCTTTTAAATAACCCCTTAAAAATGTTATATTGACTTGTTCTAGTTGATTGTTCTGTTTACTGGCCACTGTGATATAAAATAATGTAGCTTCAAGAAAATTTGGCCTGTGTTGTAACCTGTGGTACAGTTGTTCCAGTCACTGAAACCTTGCCTGCTTTTTGGTGTTGGAAAACTATTAATAGTTTATAGGGAGAACCCTTTATGTAATAACCCTTTAGGAGTTCATGAGCTGTGATTTTTTTTTTTTAATCACACACATACGCCTACATAAATCTCATCTTAGACTCAAGTGTTTGTAGGAATTATTCTGTCATCACTTTCGTGGGATTTTCTAAGGTTTACTTTAACATGATGCCTGGATGGAGGGAATTACATAGAATAAGAGAGTAATAATATTTGGAGGAGAAAATTTAAAGGACATGCCACGTGCTTATTTTAAAATTACATTGGGTATCCCAATAAAATTACTTAAATTTGTCATAAAAGTTTTGAAGTACCTTTTTTGTTTTATTTTGATTTATATTCCATACAGGAACTTCGTATTGATGGCCACTAATTTGTGTGTTTTTATCTTTTTCCCTTTTTTGTTGTTTTGTTTTGTTCTGTTCTGTTTTTGTTTCGTTTTGCATGCTGTCCCCTGTGTTGGAACTCTCTTTAGAGAGTAAGTTGGTTCAATATTTGTTGGAAACCTAACCTTACTTGCATGAATGTGCAATTAACCCCTTTTCTCTATTTTTCTTCCCCAAAGAGTTCATGCAGTGTCAAGCCTTTTGCAATCATAAAATGCTATAAACAATTAGTAAAATGTGTGGTAAAGTTTCGAGATGTGCTTTATCTACTAATTAACTGACATTGTTTGGTTATGCATTCCTGCTTTATATTGTGGTGGTTGGCACATCTGAAATAATTCACTTTAGAGGTAGATCACTTATAATTATTTCCATATCTGTTTATTTTTTCCCACTGTCAAATTATTATGAACTTCAACTTTAGATGATTGATTTCAGAATTTTAGCTTGCATCATAAAAACAGAAACTGCCATTTTTGCAGTATCCACATACATTCTTCAATATATAGGTGTTTGAGTTCCATTTTCCATTCCAAATTCATCCTTTACCTTAAATGCTCTTTCAGCCTTCTTAAATTCTTCATGCTGAGGCAAAATGATATGTTTAGTATTTTTTGTAAATGCAACAAAATTACGTGACTTATTTTTCTCTAGACATTCTCTGTGGTAAATCTAAAGTGAAACAAAGCTTGAAAACAAAACTGAGTCCTCAATTATGTATATTTTTAACAGCTAAAACATCAGCACAGGATCTTCTGAGTACTTTTGCCACAGTGAATCATAATTCACTTTATAATGATTTCAGTTTAAGCCACTTAACATGTTTGAAGTACCATAAGAAGTCCATATTACTCCATCAAGTCGGAGCTTGTAACCACTTTATTTGGCCTGCCATGTTTTAATGGAAAAGCCATGCGTGTCAGTGTCTGCAAACTCAAACAGATGCAGGTTTAAATTCTGCTGTGCTGTGTAGTTCAGTTTGAAGGATTTTGTGAGACAGCCCCCCACCCCCTATACACACAATGTAATCTTTGTAGCACCAGAATTTGTTTGTTTGTTTGCCTAAGTATATTTTCCCCTTACTTTAGGGCTGTGAAAGCCGAAGACTTCGTATTACAATACTGAAAATACATACTGGTTTGGTTTTGTCTCTGTCTTATAACTGTGGCTACTGCTTGGGAATCCACAAAATTATCTTATAGTTTCAGTTTAGCCTGAGACAGAAGATGTTTCCAGTCCTGCATGTAAAAGTCTTGTCCCACTACTGGCAGGGTAATTTTGAAACCTCAGACTTGAATATACATCTACACAGACAGCACAAAAGTTGGCAATATTTTTTCCCAATTTTTAATGTAGTTTGTCCCAAAAGGGAAATTCTTTTTTTCTGGTGGGCTTTATGTTGAATAGGGATTTGTATTGTTTTGTTTCTAACACAGATATTCAGTATTAAGGATATCTATTAAGAAATTTCCCCAAATCTACAGTAGATCCTGAAAGAGTCATAAAATACCTGGTTGAAAGGGAACCTCAAGGATGATCTGGTCCAAACTTTCCTGATAAAATGAACCTCAATTTATTTTTTATTTCTAATTTAAATTTGGAGGCGCTTCTTTAAGAGATACTTGTATGGATTTTTTACGCTTTATTGTGTGAATTTGCTTTCCCTGACTTGATGATCAACATGAAAAGCAATGGAATTTCCTCAGCAAAGAAGGCATGCAGCAGTCTATGCCAGCTCCTCCTTACTTGCATCAGTGCTGCGGAAGAAAGTCTACTTCAGTGGCCTAGTGTGTGCAGCTGTGTGAGGTGTGATCACAGTTTGGGGTTTTCCACTCTCACAGCAGCAGCAGAGCTTTGCCTAATGACAAGGCAGGTCAGCTGCAGGAGGATGTGGGGTTCCAGCCCTTGCTCTGCACCAGCCTCTTCTTGCCTTGCACCCGTGTCATAAATATTCAGGAGGCAATGTCTGCCCAACCCTCTTTGCACCACAGCAATACTTCTGTACCCAGCTCTGTGCTAGAGTGTGTATTGTGAAGGATCCTTTTTCAGCTCAAACACCCATTTTTCTTGTCAGAGAAACAGAAAACCCATAGGCCGCACAAGTGTAGAGTGTATACATCCTGATTTCACTCCTAGGTCTGGAAAAAACTTAAAATGAGTCAGATATATTAAAAGAGCTCTTTAAACTAAGTTACCTATTTGTCACACCTTCCTTGACCCCTTCCCTCCAAAAAAAGTCGTTCTTCCTGGTGTGAATCCAATAAAAAATAAATGGTTTTGGTTCCTTCGGTTTTGTTGCTTTGTTGTTTTTTGTGGTTTTTTTTACCTAATGCAGTCTTTTCAACATTATTTGTTGAAAAGAAGACAATGGATATTATCTTTTCAAAAATTGAAAGTATTTCTGTGTTTTAAACACCTCCCAAACTGAAATCTCATGTGGATTTTTTTCCCTACTGTGGTGAATAATTTTGTGTTGGGATACCTGCAATAGTAGAAGAAGCTTGTTCTGTTCTACAAGTATTTTCTGTAAAGGAATTGGCTAGCTGTCATGATTTTGCAGTAGTTAATCATGCAGATACTTAAAATTAATATTTTGTTAAAGAATTCTAGCAGCATTTTTGGTTTTAAAGAGAAAGTGTTTATGTAGTCTTCGAGGAATATGACAACTTAATGATAGAGCTTGAGAGAGTAAAAAATTTTTACTGGAAAAATTGAGGTTGCGCCAGCCATCACAGTAAGCATTCCTTTTCTTGACGAAACTGCATGGAGTACCTAATTGTCAAACTTCTACAGAAGTCAGCTAACATTTCCAATGTACTCTTATATCACAATCCAGTGAAAAGGCAAGGCAGATTTCTTTCTTTTCCTTTCTTTTTTTCCCGCTTGGCTGCAAAACACTGCCTTTCTCTGCCTCTGATTCCCTTACTGCTTTCTTCGTTTGTAAGTTCGGCATATGTCAGTGTCATTTCCTCTTTTGCCCCATCCTACCCTCTTTCCATCTTCTTCTGCCTTTTAGGTGTTCAGTATGTTTTTGGAGACACTGGTCGACTTCATCCAGGTCCATAAAGAAGATCTGCAGGACTGGCTGTTTGTACTCCTGACACAGCTGTTGAAAAAAATGGGTGCTGATTTGCTTGGGTCTGTACAAGCAAAAGTTCAGAAGGCACTTGATGTCACAAGGTAATGAGCTCTTTAAAAAGTAATAACAACATAGTTTTAGCTATTTTCAAGGGTTTTGCTGCTTGGTTGTTTTTGGGGTTTTTTTGTGTGCTGTTTGATTTCTGGAAAAATGCACAGCTCATAGCAGATCTTGAAACTTCAGTAAACCTTGTTGCTTCCGCATTTTGGTTTCATGAAATGACTCCTAATTGAAAGGGTTTGAGTCCTCAGTGCTGAACAATTAATATGATACTACTTACCTGATTCCAAAATGTGCATTTGAGACTTGTATGTTTGTTGTCTCACTTTGTGTTCAGTGATGTAGGAATTGTGTTTGCGCTTCTTTATTTTGTTGTGGAAGTTTCACTGGAATATTAATCTCTGTGTCAGTATTAACTTTTAAGGAGTTATGGTAATAATGGATTTGCTTTCTGTCTTCCCTTCCTTCTCCCCAGATTTCACTAACAGCCTGATTTAGAATCAGAATTCTAGCATACCATTGTTATATTATTCCTCATTATTTGGATTATCTGTTCTAGCTATAATTGCTTCATAGCAGGAATTCCTTAAGTGTTGTCCTGGACATGCTAGGTAAATGTTTCTGAAAGGTCAGATACAGTGACAACTGGTAGCAGTTTCAGCTTTACTGAGAAGGGAGAGGGCTTATTTGGTGCCTCTCAACAGTTCTTAAAAGAAAATTTAATGTAACTTAACATTATTTTGTTTGTTTACAGGGAATCTTTTCCAAATGACCTCCAGTTCAGTATTTTAATGAGGTTTACTGTTGACCAGACCCAAACACCTAGTCTGAAGGTAAGACTTTTTAGGCTTGCTTTGCAAGCAGAAATCATCATTAATAAAAATTTGCTCATCTTAATTTTTGAATTTGGATTGTTATTTTTGTTTTGTCTAAAAACAAAAAAAATACAAGGTTTTCAATTAGTGGATTTTGTTTTTATAAACTTTCAGACAGTCAAGCCAGCACTGCAGGACCAGCTTCGCTCTTTTTGGAGCTCAAAGGTTTTTGTCTGAATTACTGTCTTTATTCTTAACCCTATGTGAAACCCTTAGAGTGTTACCAATAATTTTTATTTGAATGCATTGTATGCTGCTACTAACCTTTGCGAGAAACTTTAAGCATGCAGATGCTCAATTTTAAACATGACTAGTATGAAAATGTTTGCTGCAAGAGAGATCTAATAAAAACACAGTACAGTAAAAATGAGCAACAAAAATGTGGCTGCCTAACATCAAGCTGGTTATGCAAACTCACTCTATCAAGTCTTTCCTAATTTTATGTTTGTGATTTCCCATACTTTTTTCCCTAGTTCATATATATATATTTTTTTTTTCCTGTGTTCAGCCTGATAGGCCTTGAGTTATTTTAAATTATTCTAATATTAATGTGAACTTGAGTTACTATGTTAAACATCAGCTACTTCTGTGGTACACTCCACTTCTCTGAAAGCAGTGTGTAGCTTTATAATTACACACGTTTTTACCTAAGAATCTGTAGTCCATGGATGTGCCAGCATATCTGAAAAGTAAAAACATATTCTGTAGTACATTTGCAGTTCCAAAGAGTCTTGCTTTTAGAACAAATGCATCAAATCCTAAGAAGATTTATAAGTGATGAGAATGGGGAAATAACAAGCATATGATAACTGGCATCTTCTGCTCTATCCTGCACGAAATATTTTTACTCAGTTTGATACTGCACAAGAATATGACTTTTCCGGAGTTATGTTGAACCTAAAGTCACATGAATATGCCTTTTTTGTCTACAATACAGTAAAACTGATATTTTTAAGCTTTTGAGGACAGTTGATACGTTGACCACTGTTGCTTCGTAGAGCTGTGTTAAAAAGGGACTGCTGTCATTTATTGAAGACAGCAAATGAGGTAGTAAAAATCAGTTTGTTGTTTAAATGAATCCTTGGAACAAATTGAGATTGGTTGTATTTTGCTTGGTTTTCCTCCCCAGGAAGGTGAATTTGATGGTTGAGATACTCCCATTTTCCATACAGTAGTGTGTAGGTGTTAAAGCTATATTAAGCACATTTCAAAGCTGAGAGTGTAGATTTGGAACAAAACTTGGACTCCTACTAGGCTGATTTGGGACTGAGTTCAAGATTTTTCCCTAAATGGTCCAGAAGGAATTCAGAAATATGAAACACTTGATGGGAAGGCATTCTGAAAATAATTTTGAGAGAGAATTCTGAAATCAAGATGCTGGTAAAAGTTATCTCCATAGAAGAACACCTATAGTTCTATACTATACTATAGTTTGAAGCAAAATCAAGAGTATTTAGAATGAATTTTTGGGACAGTAAATTATGTAACTGTTTAAGAGAAGGTAAGTTTTTTTTTCCCCCAGAAGAAAGTGGAATCTACCCCGTACTTCTTTTTTACGTGGTAACTACAGCTTCAAGATTCAGGCAGTAAAGTTATCTTTTGCCCACAGATCAGAAGTATCTGTTTAATATTCACATTGTTGAGTATATTTCCTAAATCCCATCTTCAGTGCACCCAGATAGAATAATTGATGTAATCAATTGAATAATTGCTGTGGTCAAAAACCACTGAATAATTGATAATCCTAGAGAACTACTCCAGTTGTTGAAGTCGTGAGCTTTTGTTCTTTGATAAATTGTTATCTCATTGCTTTTCTTCTAGGAATATTGAGAAACAGCATTGGCTGTGGCAGGAAAAAGTCAGAGAAGGGATTTTCAGCATCCCTAAAGATGGTCAGATAGGAGGGGAGGGGATGGTAGATTAGAAATTTGAGCCATGTAGTGATTCCCTTCAAAAAATTACTTTTTCATCTGGTTTTCACATGATAATAGTAAATAATCATCATCCTTTGGAATAAACTGTCACTGTCATTCTTATACTTAAAAAGACAGCTAAGTCAGGCGGTAAAACTTGAGCTTTTAGAGGGGCCACAGAGGTGGATTTGGATAGCTAGGCAGTAAGAAGGCCAACAATAGAGAAGATAGAATTCTACTGACCTAAATCCATGAGGAATGCAGCTTAGTGTACTGTGCTGTATCTGTCATGTTTCTGCAGTCATTTTACACTTAGGTGTGGTGAATTACTAGACACAGTTTAGAGGTGCCAGCTGTATGTGTCTGTGTTGGTCAAATGTTTGGATGGGCATAGGAGTCAAATGTCCTAGGTGGGATATAATCTATTTAGCTTATATTTGCAGGTGCAAAGCATACAGTTTCCAAAGAACGGTGTCCTGAAATACACTTCCAATCATCACTTCATTTTTCTTGGGTTTCATATCATCTCAGGCTCAATGAGGAGTTGATTTAAGCATTGTGACCAAAGTTCAAGTTTCTGAATCCTTCTTTACTTTGAAAATGCTGATTTGTTGACAAAGATTTTTACCTCAGTTGATCGGAAGATTTTTTTTTTTAACCTAAGTCAGCATTAAAATTTCTGGATTAAAAAAACCCTGTGTAATACAGATTCACAACAATTTATCTTTAGTGTGTATTTTAGTAATTTGGTTATATAATGGCACAGGCAATCTCTCCTAAGTATTCAGTAAGTTGGAGACAGACATCTGGGATTTGACAGTCTGAAAGTGACAGTATTGAACAACTTCACAGAGAGTGGTTTCAGCTTAACAACAAATATTCATTGTAAGAATTCTGGAGATGGTTTCATTGCAGTCCAGAAGTTTTTCTCTCAAAAAGATGAAATGGATTGTTGAAGATGTTAGCCTTTTTATTTCTAAATTTCAGCTCTGTACGTAGTTACTAAAAATATTGGCAAAGATACTTCTAAAGTAGATTTGCTGGTCTTTTGGAGTTTTACCTCAGTGTGGGGTTTTTAATCTGTAATAATACTGGCTCATGATATTTGACCATACAAAGGTGTAGCCCTTCCAGAATTTCTTATCTCAAAAGTAATTAGTAAAAACTGTTTTTTCTCAAAATAGCTGTCTCGTTTGGCTTAGGGAATCTGTCTCACTGTGAAAAGCTCTGTTAGTGAGAGCTCCCTCCATTCATTTTCTGTTCAGTGCTGTTCTGTCCAAGAGCCTCCATCTTTGCAGAACTCTGTGCAAGTTCCTCAGGAAGCAGTTCTTCAAACACTAAATAATCCTGCTTTCTCAGATGCAATACTTCAGAGTCTCTTCATTGGGAGAAATACCTCTGGGTGTTCTGAGTGTTACAGTCCTTAACAGCAACGTTTTCAAGTCTTACATGATATTTATTTAAATCCTCAACAGTCAAATGTAATTGTGTCACAATGGTTTCCCTGTGTAATTTAGAAATGTCAACTATTGCTCTGAATTTGGAAAGCCATGTGGTCTCAGCTTTTTGCAGAGATGTTCATGGCTTGTTTTTTATTCCTTGGAAAATAGCTAGCAAATAGTGTGCTTTTGTAGATATTGATCTGCATAAAATGAAAGCATTGAGCTGCTGCTTGGTATAACTTCAGAGAAGTTGAGTTTTAGCAGCTGTTTTGGAAATTAAGTATTCATTATTAATCCTCATTTGTATGCCAGTGTATCTTGAGTTTTTAATCACTTACAAGTTTCATGACCAAGAGAAATTTCTAAATAGCTTTGCTCAGAACAGTTGTACTGCAAGCCATGAACAGCCAGAAATACACCCAGAACTCTTTTTCTCTCTGGTTGTGATGGACATAGGTCTCTCCCTCCTGGTAGGTATTTTTGGTTCACTATAATTGTTAGTGGAAATTAAAGCAGCTAAACCTGACAGATGGTCTAAATAAATATCCATAACCTTTGTTGACAGATTGGGTGACAAATTTCTGAGGTAGTAGGAGCTGAGTAAGTAAACATTTTAGACATACACAGGTGTAATAGGTGCCCAAAACCGTGCAGTGGTGCAGTATTGGAGAAAGCAGAGAGGGGCTGCAGCCTGGGATGTACAAAACAGGGATTCTGCATAAGGAATAAAACAAGTTTGTGGAGTAAGAGAATGAGCAGATAAACGAGGGAGCTCACGAGGTTTTTTGTCCTCCTGGTAAATCCATGTCTCTATCATCTGAATATATTCAGACAAAGTGAGCATGTGACCCATCTTAAGTCTCTCCTAGAAATGCTATTCCATACATTTTTTAGTATTTAGTGGGAAGATTCCTGTGGCTTATTATTTCCAGAGATTGTGACTACTCAACCTGATGTTTTGTGAAAAAGCACTAAGTGTTAACTACCTGGTAGGAGCTAGTAAGAAGTGATCATTGATTCATCAGATGATGTTCATTTTTCATTTTAGCACTTGAAAAATTTTCTTAATAATTCTGAATTAATCTTTTCTTAATTTCTTTTTTTTTAAATATAAGCTTCTGCGTATGCAATGATTTATGTCTTTTAGTTGCTATCAGTGAGATGTAAGCTTTCTATGAGTATTTGAATGTCTGTGGAGTAACTTGCTTCTTCAAATGTTAAATCCATTTGTAGATTGTTTTATTGCAAAGAAAAATTATATTAATGCTGAAAATGTGTAGTTTAATTGGGAAAAAAAAATCTTTATTTTAGGGAATGAACACTCTGTGAGCTCAGTTGTTCTTGCAGCCCACCATTTTTATTGTCCATCTGACTCTGTTTCTCATTGCAGGTCAAAGTTGCAATCTTAAAATACATAGAAACTCTCGCGCAACAGATGGATCCAGGAGATTTTGTAAATTCAAGTGAAACTAGGTTAGCAGTGTCTCGAATCATCACCTGGACCACAGAACCCAAAAGCTCAGATGTTAGGAAGGTATGTTTGTTAATGTGTCCTTAGAATTGCAAAGCATTCCAGGTAATTAAGAATATTTAAGTAAAAGAATAAAATTAACATCTTGAAACTCTCCATTAGGGTTGTGTTTTTTATATATGTTCGTATGTTGAGATTCTGTTTCATAATTTATTACTTCATTGCAAGTACTATCTAGTACTAAAATCTCTTTAGTGGCCATTTTTTGTACAGTTTTAACATTACTTCAGAGACCACCCCTTGTGATACTAAGTAGCACATTTGTAACAGGAGTGGTAAATTTGGTAGCAAACTCAGTCTAATCTCTGTTGGATTTTCTAGAGTCCTTTATTTTTAACAACAAATAGACAGCTGTTGAACCTTGGACAAAGAAAGTGCTTTGATAAGGTATAGGCTTATTGTCATAGGCTTATTCTTGTAATGCTGCACTTCCAGTGCAAACCTCCCTTTTCCACATAATGATGTGAAGTGAAAATTAACATTTGTGAGCTGCATAGATACAGCAAGGATACTAAATAACTATAAGAAATGTACTAATGCTGTCTTCGGAAAGGGTTTCTAAACAGCACTTCGATTTGTAGAAAGCAAAAAAACATACAATTTTATTTGTGATTTGATGGAATAGTTTTGTTGTTCTGATGGTTGCAGGTCATGCTGTGTAGCTGCCATTTCTAGCATGTCAACACTACAAAAATGTTGTACCTTTTATGGTTCTTCAGTGCAAGTGTCTATGACACACAGAGCTAACTCTTCTCTCTCTTTTTCTGTTCATTTCTGCAGTTTGAAAAGCTGCAACAATTAATTTGTTGAGATTTGTTTTGCTGCTTTCAATTAAATTTGAGTTTTGGCAGCTTCATCTTTTCTGGAAAGAGCAATTTCCTTTGTTTAGTAGGGATGTAGGAAAGAATAGTAGGAGCTGTCATACAAATTGTAATGTGAAGAAAACAAAAATAAAAATAACTTAGAAAACTTCTTGGTATTTAGGATGTTTGTAAAACAAAATAAAAAAAACACCAGAGAGTTTTTGTATTAGAGGCAGTGTTTTAGTCATTCACTTCTTGTATAACTTCATGAGTTTGAGAAAACAGTAATAGATTACATCCAATGGACTTTCCTTGCCTGGGTATCATGTTCTAGTAACATTTAAAAGGTCATAAAACAGAAGAATTGAAGCAGCACTATCTTCTAAATCTGTGAAGTTTTAGCACTGAGACACGTGGCAAGCTGTCTTATCTGATGGTTCGTAACCCTGATAAGCATTTTTATGTGAATAAGTAACTGAATCATGCAAAAAATTACCAGTGAGTTTAGTCATCTGGAACACCTCAATCATGTAAGTTTTCAGATTTTATTTTTTCTTTCCAAAACACAGCTCTTTGAGGCAACTAATTGCAAAAATCCTTCAACGCTTGAAAATAAAATTTTGCCAATAAGAAGTCAAAAGAGTTATTCTGGTAGTATAAAATGTTTAATTCTCTTAACGATCTTCTCAATCTGCTATCACAGGCTTTCTAATCTTATTTAGTTTAATAAGCTTTATAGAACTTAGTGTAATTTCTTTAAATGAAAAGCTTTTTCTAAGTAATTTCTGTGTAATTAATGGGTTTGATTTTTTCCTTAGCAAAAACAGTTCTAGTACTAAGTATTATGAGAAACCCTAGTTTATTAGTCTCACATTGGGCACTCTTAGTATAGTTCAGTGACATGGGACTTCTTTCTGGAAGGTCAAATTTTGTTTCAAAACTTAGATTTCTTCTATGATTGGAATGCTTCTGGAAAGAGTTTTAATCTATTCTTAGAAATTTTCTAAGAAGAAAGCAAAACCAAAGAAATATTTATAATCCTTATTTCACTCTTTTAAAGATGATTTCTGTGTGAGTGAATTTAAATCTCAGCAGAGACCTTATGCTGGGGAGAACAAAAACCTCTAAATACTCTAAAACGCAGGGTTTCTTCAGCAAGGAAGAAAGAGAGAAAATAGATAATTGCATTGGATACCTTCTGCAAGTCAGTATCAATTTTGATACTATAGGCAGAGCTTCATTTTGGGCAGACTTGATGGTATCAGTTTCTATCCTGATACAATCCTGGACTGGCTGTTGTGTTCTTTTAATAGCAGCTTAAATAGACACAGTATTAGGGAGTGGAGATTGGCTAACTAGACAGAAAAAAGAAAGTGGTGATTCCCAAACCTCTGCTCAGCTGCTGAATTTGTCTTCGTTTTGCTTTGTATCAATTTTGATGAAAAGACTGACTATTAAAAATGACAAGGACAAGAGAAACATCAGACAGATTGCAGAGGACATTATGGGTGATCATTTGAAGGGAAGGCTATCAAAAGGAAAAGGAAATAAATGTTAAAGAAAACAACCAGTCACAAGTATGCAAAGATAATTTGTGGCAATCTGACATGCTAGGATTTTTGTTGTTTAACTTAACACTGAGATGTGTGCAGGTAGGTGTGCTCATGCCTTGGCTCTCCATTTTTAATTAAAAAATGCTACAGTTCATTGCTCTGGAAGCAAAAGTAGGGAAATAAATGTCTGAAAGAATTTTCTAAACTACTTGGTTGGAGTGTATTGGTGGTTAAGAATGCTATCATTCTGTCTAGCATGAGGCACTGGTTCTCTCCAGTGCATGGCAGACCTTGATGGTGAGCTGTATAAACTGCACATAGCTGGTTAATCTTAAAACCACAGTCTTCTGCTACAAAGAAGTCATTGTGGAGAACTTTCTCCAGCTCTCCTTTGCACTTGTTAGTTACTCTGTTGACAGGTTTTTTTAATGCTATCCAGTGAATCTTCATCAAACTGTACAAACATTACTTAATTCTTTCAATCAACAGTTCCTGTACTAGAGGGAATCCAACTCTTGTGTAATATACTGTGTTGCTTTGTCAGTAGAGAGTGCTGATTTTTTATTCAGGTAAAAAAAACACCCCAGCATATGTAAAACATGCTGTAGGATGGTTGTGATGGTAAAGATGAACTGATTAAATTGAGAGTATGGGAGGTGACATCCAGTACAAACTACTCCAGTTTTCATCTTCAGAATATATAGTCAGCTAAATTTCATTGCCCATTACGTTTGCCTTTCTTTTAGAAAGGTTAAATGAAGCAGAGCTCTGGCAAGGTTAACTTACTCACTTGGCTGTAGGGTAAATTATGAGGAGCATCAAGTGCTATGATCACTACTGTCTCATTCCACATTAGGGTATCTTGTTTGGTTGGGTTTGTTTTAATTTCTACAGTGCTAACTGTTCCTTTTTAGGCAAGTGTGTTACCATCTGTAATTACCACTTGCAGAACTCAGTAGAAAGGATCACATGCTTGCTACTGCCTGGAGTGTTTAATTTCTCTCTCTAAATTTTCAACTTCCCAAACTCTGAAAGCCATTTTGCAAATTCCTTCTTTTTTTCTTTTTTTCTTTTTTTTCTCTCAGTAAGGATGTGGGGCTAAGGGGGTTGAAAAGCACATTTCTGAAAGATTGCTTGTTAGAATGATATCTGTGTGCCTGAATTTATCAAAATCAGAACTTCCAGCTTGCCAGCAAATATGAATTGCCTTTGTTCATATCTGTTGACATCTTTATTCAAGCTTGATCAAGACTTAAGTCACATTCTGTGATTACTACTCATTACAGCATCTTTTGCGGATAAAATTACTTTGAAACTGTAAATAATGTCTTCAGTTTGTGTTTTCTTCTTGTAGGCTGCACAGTCAGTGCTGATTTCCCTTTTTGAACTCAACACTCCAGAGTTTACAATGCTGTTGGGTGCTTTACCAAAAACATTTCAGGATGGAGCCACAAAGCTTCTCCATAATCATCTCCGGAATACAGGCAACAGTGGTCAGGTATCCACTTCTGTTACTCTTCTTTCTGAAGTGACTGTGTAAATGCCTACTTAGTAGCTCTCTGTGGAATGTCCTTTCCTTTTCCTCTGCAGTTACAGTTTCTAAGTCTATGTTGCTTCCAAGTGACCTCCTAGGTTTGGATGTGTTTCTTAAGAGTAGTTTATCTTGTACTTTCTAACACGTGATTGAAGTTACTAGTAATGGGTTACACAATTCAGGAATTTAGTTGAAGCTCTTTAAATGTTTCTGGGCATCAGAAAAATAAACATAATAATAAATACAGTAAGGTAAAAGGGAAGCTTTTAGTCCTACTAGAGTATCTTTTCTCACTTCTCCTCCTCCAGGGATCGATGGGAAGTCCTTTAACAAGACCTACTCCACGCTCCCCAGCAAGTTGGTCAAGTCCTCTCACTTCCCCAACCAATACATCACAGAACACTTTGTCACCAAGGTAATGCAGACTGGTGATGTTACAATTCTACATCCAAGGCTTACAACATATTGTCCAAAATGGAGCCCCAGTAATGAAAGCATGGGCAAAATTTTGCACAAAATGACAGATGCTCAGAAATAATCCCTCTTCCTCCATAGAATGAAACTGCTCAGCCTCCCAGAAGGGTCTGACGTGCTGGCCTGAGGTGGGAAAGGGCTGTCCATCTTGGAAGGCAAATGGATTAGCAAGAGAACTAACCAAAGTGTGCTTCTCTAACAAGTGTTAAAACATGTCATCTGATGTCATGGTTTAACCCCAGTTAACACCTAAGCATCATACAGCTACTCAATAGCTCCGTGGTGGGATATGGGGGGCAATCAGAATATAAAAGAGAGAAAACTGAGATAAAGACAATTAAGTAAAAGCTGCATGTGCAAGCAACAGACAATGAATTTGCTACCTCTTATGGCGGGTTCAGGTGTTCAGGAGAGCAGGGCCCCATCACTTGTAGCAGTGACCTGGGAACTCCTTCCCTCAGCGGTATATGCTTAGATGGTGGTGCCGTATGGTGTGGAATATCCCTTTGGTCTGTGGGGTCGGCTCTCCCAGCCGTGTCCCCTTCCAGCTCCTTGTGTACCCCCGGGCTGCTCGCTGCTGGGGCTGTGTGAGGAGCAGAATGGGCCTTGGCTCTGTGTAAGCACTGCTCAGCTATTCCTGGTACAGTGCTATGTTAGCAACCCCATTTCCAGCATAAATCCAAAGCACAGCCCCCCAAGCCAGCCACTGTGAGGACAGTTACGTCTGTCCCAGACAAAAGCAACACACTTTTAACCAGATTTAATATTGGGGAGACTAAAGAAATAATAGTTTACAAGTGTTTTTTATAGTGATGATGTTGTCAGCAAAGTGGACTCGGTAATTTTGCTTTTACCAGTCAACTTGCTGTGGAGTTCTATCGGTGCTCCTTACTTTAGGACTTTTTTCAGAATAAGAGGATGGTGTAAAAATTCCAGTTGTTTCACATTCAACAGAGTAAAGCAGAGCAAAATAAGTTTTTCTTCAGGCAGATGCTGTTACCTAATGTAACCTTTCCCTTATCTACTTTCAGTGCTTTCTGTGGCAGTGGTAGTACACTTACTAAGGCATACGATAGTACAAATTTGTATTGTGAGGAGACAACTTTCTTAATGTCTTTCAAGAAAAGTAATAATTTTAGTAATATTTCCTTAGTCTCTGTAGTTACCTGCTAATGCAATTTAAAAGTACAGATCACAAAATAAATCCATCTTAGTTCCTATGTCTTTCTCCATGGCCCACAGTGCATTTGACTATGACACTGAAAATATGAATTCTGAAGATATTTACAGCTCTCTTCGTGGAGTCACTGAAGCCATTCAGAATTTCAGTTTTCGTAGTCAAGAAGATATGAATGAGCCTGTAAAACGAGATGCTAAAAAAGATGACAGTGATTCGGTGAGTATTTAAACTCAGTCCATGTTGGTATCAGCAAACTAAGCTAGTGTCTGATTGATTACAGATAAGAAAGCATCTGTTTCAGGAGGTTTATATTCTTCTTAAGCTGGGCATTTCTCCTGAATTACTTTAAAGCTTTAGAAAAATACGTTCCTCATCTCAAATTGCATTTTGAAAACGTAAATGCTGATTTTACGTAGCAGTGTCTGTGTGTTTAACATGTCAGAAGTTTAGAAATCAGTGATCTTGCAAAACAGCTGAAATTATTTTTTTGAGAAGTTTGTATCCTACTATATGTTTTTCTGAATGTTTTATTTTATTTTGTATACAACCTGTGGGCTGTTAAGATGCAGTATTTAAGACTCCTGTTTCTGTGGAACTTTGGCTGTAAGATTTGTTGAACTTGGCAACTATATATATGCTTAAACACATTTTTAATCATTTTGCATCAGACTTGTAGGATAAAATACAACTATTTTTGATTTGATTTTTTTTGGACAACATACGCTTTCCTTTTTTTCTGGTTTTTTTTTGGTTGGTTGGCTTTTTAAGGAAAGCAGCATTTAGGGAAGTAAGACTTCTTATTTGAAGGCTAGTTTGAAAATTCTAAGCATTTTGAAATTTGTACGTTTTTGCTACATAAATGAATTAGTGATGTAGTTAATGGAAAGGTGTAAGATTGTGTTTCACACATGCTCGTGTGCTACTTCCTCTCCTGCAGATTTGCAGTGCTTCTGGAATAGTGGACATGCGAGCAGGAAGTGGTGTGAGCGATACAGGTCGGACAGCTCTGGATAACAAAACGTCATTACTCAACACGATGCCTCCCCACTCTTCACCACGCTCACGAGATTACAACCCATACAATTATTCTGATGGTATCAGTGCATTTAATAAATCTGCTTTGAAAGAAGCCATGTTTGATGATGATGCAGAGCAGTTTCCTGATGGTAAGATTCAGATTACATTCTGTGCTAGAAGAAAAATGATGAGATTTTCTATCTGGGAGTTCAGCTTCTGAAGTTATTGTTAGGAAGATATGTATCACTTCTTTGAGAGGTTTTTACAAATGCTATATTTTGAATTAGTTTATTTGTTACTCAGCTCTTTGAGTTACACTGTTGGATTACCTGGTATTTGTAGAGACTAAGGGTAAGAATGAAGGAAATGCTGAACCATGTTGTATACTTCTGGAAGCACATCCTTTATCAGTATTGCCAGTATAAATTTACTTATCAGATGGTTTTATGATTGAAATTTAAAGCAGGAGGGTGGAGAAAAGATTTACAGCAAGGAAGTAAAACTGGATCAAACAGGTTTGGGAATTAGGTGAAAGATTAAGTATTTTGTTAGTAATATATTTGTATTTGAAACATGGCATTGGCATTTTCTATTGACTAAACATTATTTTTAAATGAAACAAAACAAACTAGCTTTTTACCAGGAATGTGGTGCATCTAGCCCATGTAAATCTAGGAACATGGGTTGCTGTTTTGTAGGCTTCCAGAGCTTCTTTAAGATATTTCTCCATATATCTTTAGGTAATTTTTTTTATATTTCTGTGGTAAGAAGGTTCCAAAGTAGCACTACTATCATTATTTTAATTAATAGTCAGTGGTTCTCGTAATCTGGTATTCACTGTTGTTCAGCTATAGATCAAGTTTTTAAGTAAGCACTTTCTTAATAACAAGGGAACAAGGGACAAAGTCATCATCTCCTTTCTACCTGTTTTGGTTTTGTCATTCTGCAAAAGATGTGTTACAGAAACAGTTGAAAAACAAAGTTATTTTTTGACATGGTGTTTTATTCATCTATTCTATAAGTTGGCTTTAAGTTTGCATCAAATCAAAACCAAATCCAAGTATGGTGCATTTTTCTTTGTTTTTCTTACATATCATTAAGAAGCACATAGTGTAGCCAGATATTATCTTCTGAAAAAGATTGAGGGAAAAGCACAGTTTTACAAATCATGGCATGTACATATTAATAATTAAATAGCTTTGCCATCCACATACAGAGCCAGGTTATGTTTGAGATTCTGTATTAAGGGATCTTGTTTTACAGGGGAGAAGCCTCCTACCTTCTGACAGCTTATTTTTGGGTATTGCATTAAACCAGATGCAGTCTGTGCTGTGCCAGCATGATCCAGTTTTGTAACAATTCAGGACTGGCTGGAGTGAAGCATCCCCATCCACTATGAGTTTGTCCTGGTTGGAGGAGTAGTGCAATGCATTCTTTAGGTCTGCTCTTTAATGGGTCTTGATGAAGTACTTGGTTTCATTCCTGTGTTGTTGACCCATAGTATTCAGTTGTATCATGTACATTCTGTTATTTGTGTGTTACTGTTAGAATTTCACTGGGATTATTTGCAAAAAGTCTGCAAGAGAAAAGATACATTGGCAAAATACCTTATACCTACAACTCCTCTGCTGAGAATTACACACATAAACCTGAAGGGTTAATTTGACATAAGTTACCAGTTTTTGGAAACTCCACAGAACTACTGCTTGTTCCTGACACAAAATTACATTAGTACTGGATTCCCAGCTATCTTGTCATGCATTACTGACAGAAGGATGTGGAAATACAAGGCCAGGTGGGAAAACCTTAGCTGCTCCTACAGTCTTGTCAACAGCACTGGGGCAGGAATTTGTATTTTACAGACAGTTTCTCTGGCAGTTGAAAATTTTCTGTGGAAGAGATGCCACAGTGTGCCTCACATAATTCACAATTGATGAGTGTTTTGCTTCTCTTGGTTTTCAGAGTAACAGCCTAAATCTTCCAACCACTTTGTTTTTTCCCTGAGGGAAATGCTCTTTATCTGAAGCATAGGGAAACCTGGCTCTCCAAGTCACTTCCAGACTTAAAAGCAGTTCACAGTCTCTGTTTAAAAAACAGTGCTCTTCTCCAAAGAAGCTTATTTATTTCAGCTTACTTCCATGGATTGCACTTTACAAACATCTTCCTTTTTACCTCCCAGTTTGTACATGGGCTTAAGATTTCTGCTTCAGTGTCTCGCCTTGCACTTGGCATCTTTTTTTTTCAAACCATTCCTTTGATTTAACATGATAATTTTCAGTTCTTACTCTCTTCTTCAGAACATTTGTGATTGCTCCTAAAGTGATGTTATCTACAGATTTTCTAAGTTGGCTCCACATTCCTTTGTAGCACTAACAAATGCATCCAGCGGAACCAGGCTCTGCACACATCCAAGCAAGGACATCACTCGTATCCTGCTGCATTAATAGAAAGCCATTTATAATCCAGTCACCTGCAAGTGATACATCAAGTTTTGCACTTGCTTTATTTGCTTTATTGGCCATCATGTTTGCACAGCTTTTATATTAAGATGCTGTGAGTGGCAGTAGGAAAATCCTTCCAAAATTCAGGACATACCTACATGTTCCCTTTTAAACCTATGCTGTTTGTCCTGTCAAAAGGATATTATTTGATTGGTTTGAGAAGAGCTGTTCTTCATCAATTATTTATCTCTCTAATGTATATTTTAATTCATTCAAATGAAGGAGTTCTATCTACTCCTCTTCATTTGTGTTTTGTTTCCTTTCTGAAAAAGAAATTTTGAGAGTAGACTTTGAACTTCTTTTATCCTTCTCCATTCTTATCTATAGAATGTTTGGAAATTAAATACTAAGTGCTAAGTCATACAAAGGAATGGAAAAGGCAAGCTGAAAAGGCACATCCCTCTTGGTTATCTTCACGTTTTTCAGTTATGTAGTCCACTACTGGAACTTCTTTCCTCCTCTTATTCCTGCATGGACATGACTATTACCTTCCCCTGTCTCTTTAACCCTTCTGTCCATTCATCTAAGATGACACTACAATGAAAATACTTTATTTAAACAGAAGAGAGTAGTTTTGCTAATGAAGTGTCAATATGCATTCCCTGAAATTGGATTTGCTGTAGCTATAATCCTTACAGTTTGGTAGAACAAGTATGAGTGCTGCCAGTAAAAGTAATCATCTTGCTTCCATAAAAATGACTGTCCATTCTGCACATCTCCTTTAAACAATAACTGACCTAATGCAATTTCAGTCTGCCCTTTAGTCAAACATTAATCATCCATTAACACAGAGGCAGCAGAAGTGTTTGTAGTTTTCTTTCAGATGCTGGTGCTCCTATTTATTCATGCAAAACAGAATGCAAATAGGAATGTGGGGTTCAAAAGCAGCATGATTTTTACAGTAGCTGATGTGTGATTTTAAGATATTTAATTCTGTAGTACTCAGCATTTACTGTGTTCTTTTTAAAAGTGCTTTGTACAGCATTTGTATGTTCAAGGGTTGTGATTTCTCAGTGTATGGTGTAATTAATTTGTTATGGAGGGTGTATTTAATGTGTTAGTTAATACATTCAGTCATTTCAGGAAAGGTGCAATGCCTTAGGAAAAGGCATATTTCTGTTAATTTATCCAAATGTTTCAATGCATAGATGGAAGCTATATACTTCCTGTTCTTAAAGGCTAAATGGGTCTCGATGATGGAATAAAGATACTCAAGATGACACTCAGCTTTCATTAAGACCATATTTAAGTTTCTTGACAGTTTGCAGATCACTCCGTTTTGCAGTCCAGTGTTTATAAATACAGGTTGTATTAATAATGTATTTTTCCATTATCATGGTATCCTCTCTAATAAAAACTAAAATCCAGAGCCATCTCTTAATGAATTGGTTTTGGGATCTATGGGACTAATAGCCCTGGTTTGCCTTTATTTCAGCTCTTTTGTACCAAGAACTATTGTTGTACTTTTTTTTTCCCCCTGTTTGTTTTAGCAACCTAGCTGTTGTGGAAACATGGCTTACAGAAGTCTAAACAATTCTGTAATACTAACAGAGAAAATAATTTTTTTCATCTTGAATGGAAGGGTCATATGGGAAAGATGGCCCTTCTTGTATATATCAGATTTAAAAGGATGCAGAGTACTTAGTGGGTACTGCAAGCCTAAAAACTCCTGCAGTAGACTAAGCCTGCAAGGGAGCTTTTGCTGTGTCATTGTAGGGGTTTAGGAGGGATTGTAATCTTGTTCAGCAATGTTGGCTGAAATGTTACTGAAAATGTAGTAGCCAGACTGCAATTCTTACAGGCAGATGTGGGGGGAAAAACAAAAGCATGCTCGAAAATGAGCAAGTCATACTAGAATATATCCTTTAGTTGTACAACAGGCACTATTATTATTATCTGCAGTAACTGTGTTTGTGCATTCCTTTTTGACAGAGCCTCCCATGGACCATTCTGATCTGGTTGCAGAACTACTGAAAGAGTTATCAAACCATAATGAGAGAGTTGAAGAAAGAAAGGCTGCCCTGTATGAGCTCATGAAGTTAACTCAGGAAGAGTCTTTTGGTGTTTGGGATGAGCACTTCAAAACAATACTTCTTCTGCTGCTTGAAACGCTTGGAGATAAAGAGGTAAATTTGGAAACATCCAGTTCAGAATGTTCACAAAGTACATGACTTATTTTCAGCACCTTTTACATTTGTATGAGTTGTAGAAAGGGCACAAATTCCAGTTAGTGGTGGAAAAAAACAAAAAAACTGTGGGAATACAAAAATGCCATGAAGTCCAATTCCTCTGATGGTGAAAAGGACATCAGTGATACTTAATTTCTCCAGGATTCCTATTTGTGGATTCTGACATATTAGATCAAATGAAACATTTTTGCACTGAGATTCGAAGCTTATCTGTTTATAGCCCCTGAATGAATCTGGAATATCAAAACATCATGTGTGGCAAAGCATTTAAAAATCTGTTTCTAAAATACAGTAATACTAGTTGTGAAGAGACTGAGTTCTTTCTATCTAATAGTTCTCTACAAAGGCCATTTTTCTGAAATTACTCAGTATCAAAAAGACACTAGTACTTGTGTTTGATTTTTTTAATAATTATTTAAAGAAAAAGTTAAAAATGTGTTTATTTGCATGATGGTTTTATCAGCCCTTGTGTTTGGAACTTAACTTCTGGGTAGCATAGATAAGTCAGAATAATTTAGTAGTGTGTTTATGACATGTCACCTGAATTTTCTGTGAAGAAAAAGAGATTGAAGAGACTTTTTTCCTACTTTCATTTGTTAACACTAGATTGAGCCTGTATATGTGTGCAAAGCATAATCAGATATTTTTTCCATTATGAAAGACTTTTCCAGCAGCTGAACAAATGTTAAAAGCATAAGTCTGTTTAAAGATGCATAACTCATTTATTTTAATATTGAATCTTTAGCATGCAATTAGAGCTTTGGCACTGAAAGTTCTAAGAGAAATTCTAAGAAACCAGCCAGCGAGGTTTAAGAATTATGCAGAGCTCACAATCATGAAGACCTTAGAAGCACATAAGGATCCTCATAAGGAGGTCAGTAATCAGTTATTTTATTTGTTTAAGGTTCTATTGTTATAAAATTATTACAAAATGAAAGAGCTGTCCAGAAAATGTGAAATGATCAGTTCCTACCGAGGAAGTAATTTTTTTTAATAATGAGCTTATTATTATATGTTTAATAACAATGATATTATTAGTTCACATGGATATGCAAGAAAAAAATCCCCTGCAATTTTAAAAGCTCTTGAATGGTTAATATCATCCCTAATAACAATTGGCTTGGGTGCCATCCCGCAGAACTGTGTAACCAACAGTGTGTCACCATGGCTCTTCAAGGAATAACTGAAAGGTGTTTTTTCCTTGTTTGGCATCTTAAGCCAACTATAAGTGTCCTAGAGAGGTAAAACAAGCTTTTGGATTGCAGTGAGGTTTATGGTTGAGAGATGACACTAAACAAGACGAGGAATTGTCAACCCTTTCCATTTTGCTCCAGTTGAGAGCGTGGCTTTGCATGGGGTGTTAAGGGAAAATGCACAGGAATATGTCAGTGGGGGAGGTGCTTGTGCTAGAAACAGTGAGGGGATTCAAGAGAAGGCTGAATGTAACCTTGCTCAGAGCGATTTGTGATGCCTGCATACACAATAAAGGACAATGCATGTAAATGTAGGAAACACAGATACAATAATGAACCCAGTATTCAACTTCTGACATCAGTGTCACTGATGCTGTTGAAAGAATCCATGTTTATTACTAAATGACTACGTGTTCCCCATGCAAGGGCACTTTGTGGAATTTACTGTAGAGTTTCAGGCTTTGAAGTCGACTGCAATTCCTTCCATCCCATGACTTTATCACTCATTTGATACTCATTTCTCTTTTCCCTGTGCTCTCTGGATTTGTTTCATACACTGTATTTATTACAGTGTCATTTCCCCATTGTTCCTTCTCTGTTCCTGTGCTTTTTTCCCTCTCATCGTTTTGAGTGTTAGGAGTGAGAGAGTAAAGGATGGAGAGAAAATTTTGAAGGTTTTTGTACATCACTGTGTACCACTCATTCTGTACAGTGGTTCCTCTTGTTAGATGGCAGATGCCACCACAGCACCAATGTGAAGATAAGATGTTAATTTTCTCTGTGGTTCCCTTGCTTTGTTTTGAGATTGTGTACCTGTTGAAGTCCTACATAATTATTCTTGTTCTGCTTGTTCTGCATATTCTTCAGGGTTAAAGTACTCTCTTGTCATAGTTTCTTTCAAAATTATAGGGGAAGAAAAACAGCTTGATTGGATTCTACAATTAGCAATCTAGGCATGTCATTAAACACACCTTCGAAATGAATGCGAAAGCATGTTTTATCAGTGATCGCTGACCTAACAAGCAATAGCAAATGGCAACACAAGAAATTACAGGCTTACAAAGGTGGTGATATTTCAATATGTAGTTGGAGGGTATGCAGAATATAGAAATTTCAGATCCCATTAAACAAGCAGGTTTGAAAAACTGATATGTGTATTGCCAAGGGCATAGTAGCCACAGAATATGGAGAAGAATTGTGGTTTTAGAAAATTATGTCCAGTGGCTGAACTTGTTACATATTTCTATAATACTGCAGAGGTCTTGATAGAAAATTTTCATGCTCAAGACCTTTACTGCCAGAAAACAGACCACAGAGTAAGAGTCTTACACAAATCACTTTTCTGTGTCTTTTTCTTTCACTAGGTGGTGAGATCTGCTGAAGAAGCTGCTTCCATGCTGGCCACTTCCATTAGCCCAGATCAGTGCATCAAAGTTCTCTGTCCAATTATCCAAACTGCAGATTACCCCATTAATCTGGCTGCAATCAAAATGCAGACAAAAGTTATAGAAAGAGTATCTAAAGAAACCCTTACTCAGCTCTTACCAGAGATTGTGCCAGGTCTAATACAGGTAAGGAGAGAACAAAGAAGAAACAAAACAGACTAATAAAAAGAAACTGTAGACATGTGAGTTGCAAAGACTTTTTAAAAACATTACCACTTGGTTCTTATGAAGGATTTTACTTATCTGATAGTTGATGGCTGCCTTGACCCAAAATACTTTCAATAGTGGGAACAATCTCTTTGATTAGCAGGGAGCTAAATTATAACCATGATTAGGACTGAGGAAATCTCAGTAGGATATAGAGTCCTGGTTATAGGTAAGCTTGGTGGATACTTCCAGTTCTAAGATAGTTCTTTGTTGTTTGTAACTTTTTCCAAGTTACATAATTTGATGTGAAATTGTGTGTGTTTTCTGTATAATTTTAGGGGTTTGTCAGCTGGGTCTTTTGGGAGTCAAGAGAAAAGAGCAGTTTATAAAGTTAAATAAAATTAGAAGAATATCCAAGTTTTCTCTTCTTTTGTCTTTAAAACTGAAAATTTTACCACTTTTTTATCATTTTAAGAACCAGAAGACATTAATTTCCTTCATAGATCAAAACTCTTTAGAGTTGGCATCTGCAGATTTCTGTCTTTAATGAGTGTGATCCAGTCATACATCTGCAGGAAAATAGAGACAGAGAAGGGGCCCACTGGGAAGGGAGTCTGAGTGAGACAGCCAGGCATGGAATGATAGAAAAATGGCAAAAGAAACAAAAATAATGGAAGAATGAGATGAGGGTTAGCAAAAGAGCCTTTAGCTTTTAAAAGAGTTCTTCATTCAGAGCCAGGAAGCTCTAAATTGTGAGTGGTCTTTTCCTTTAAGTAAATAGCTGTATAACCTAGAAAAGTTCTCTTATGTGCTCAACCTGTTGCATGGCAGCAGCTCAGTTTTCAGTTTAACATATGAACAGGACTGTGTGGATTTTAAATTCACCCTGGAAAATGATTATCAATGGTTATTAATATGCAGCCTGCTTTTTAACTGCATGCTCTGTATTAGTGTGTTTGTTTTTTTGTTGGAATGCTTCATTGGGCTACACTGGCATTAATTTACCATAGACTTCAATGTATTTATTATAGTAAATAGCTTTCTGGGGCTTTCAATCATTAACTGATAAGGTATTAATGTTAATTTTATTGCTTTCTAGGGTTATGATAACTCAGAGAGCAGCGTTCGTAAGGCATGTGTTTTCTGCCTTGTAGCCATTCATGCAGTAATTGGTGATGAACTTAAACCACATCTCAGTCAACTCACTGGCAGTAAAGTAAGTAGAAGATACAGTTCAAAGAAATCTTGGCTCATAATTGCATCTTTGAGTTTGCATTTTGGTTGCCATTGCCAGAAAGTTTCAAAGAAGTGTATACTTGAAAGAGACTGTCAGTTGTATTAATACGGCTTTGCTGTAAAATATTCAAAACTGAGAGTTCACAGGTCTTTTATATGCAAGTGTGCAAACTTTTGTGTAAAGATAATTACTAAACTATGTTTCTTACTACTTCTGATGCAGTCAGTTCCTTGTATGCTGGTAGCAGTGATAATGGCTGTACTCAGCAGGCTTTTCTATCCGTGTTTCTTGTCTTTCTTTTCATGCAAGTTCTGATTCAAAAACAGGGAACATAGTATGCCCATGTTACATACAGCAGTTCTTTTTATTCTTCCTCCTTGTTATTTTGCTTTCACCAGTCTTTTCAGTATCTCTAATTTGAAATAATAAGAACCAGTCTCTGGTCCTTTTTATTTCAGGATATTTATGACTTCATTGACATCTTTTTCATGGAGTTTTTTGCATCTAAACAGCTGTAGGTTAGTTGTGAATCTCTTTGTCCTTGGGAGTAAAACAGGACAATTAATTTTGTGTATCTGTGAATAAGACAGTTCTATCTTTAAATAGTGTCTGGCAGTGATTGTATTTCAAGTGACTCCAGACAATAGTGGAAGCTTTAGTACATACCAATATTAGCAACTCTGACTAGAGGCTTAAACCTCAGCAGTAACTTAGAAGATACAGACACCCAAACCACTACCATACTTAGAAAAGCAATATAATTGGAAGAAAATATTCCATCTATCTTAAACTAGCTACTTTATATCATATTATTTACATCCTTAGAGAGGCTTGAGCAGTTTCCATGTGACAAATTTTGTTGTGTTTGATGTTTTCATTGGCATGTATGTTCCTTTTGAATAACTGTGTAAAGTACAATTTGACTTTTAGGGAAAAGAAAAAGGATTAATGTCTGTTTTGTTGTACTGTTCCTGTAGTCAGTCTGTACAGCTTGCGAATACTAAACAGAGTTAATTTCTGGCTTAAATTTGCAGATGAAATTATTGAACCTTTACATCAAACGTGCACAAACAGGCTCTGGAGCAGGGGATACAGCAGCAGATATGTCTGGACAAAGCTAATGAAGCTGACAAGAGCTAACCAGGTCTCCTAAAGGAAGGGCAAGGCCCTCTTCAGTGAAAGGAAAATCCTTACATGCAACTTCTGGAACTTTTTTCTTGTTTTGGTTCAACACCCCCCCCCCTTTCTTTTGTTATTTTTCTTTTGTGTTTGGGGTTTTGGGTTTTTTTTTTTTTCCCTTTAACCAGTGGCTGTCCTCAGCCTGCATGAGACTGTTGCAATAGAATTATTCCAAATCTAAGGAAAAACAGTATTAACATCAGGTGATCAAAACAGAATAAAAATTTAAAATAATCTTATCCATCAGTTACCCTGTTCATAATCCTCTGTGTCTTCCCATTAACTTTTGCCAGTGTTACTGTATTAAAAGATTTTTTTAGTGCTAATTAAAAAGGTATGCTTTAAGCTTCAGAAGTTAAAATATAAATTCTGTTGCTTTTCTTCAGCTGCAGATAACATTACTTTTTTATTGCTGCTTTGTTTGAGCATCATGTCCTTTGCTAGAAACAAGAAGTGATGTGAAACAAGGCTGAACTAGTCTGAACTGCAGTGAGACTTGTTCACTGTGTTGGTGGTTCATCATCTTATTTACAGCTTGTTTGGGATATTCTGGAGATTGAGAAATATGCCTATAAAAAGAAAGCTGGATCGATCCAGTTCTGTCACAGTGATATTGTTCATTGGTTGTATGTTTGTTGCATAAATAAGAATTTCGTGTGCGCAGCAGAGGGCTGGTACAACCAGTACCTCTTAATGTGGGAGACAGCCCTGCCAGGGCAGCACTGCCGAGCTGGTGACAGTGTGGCAGCCTGCTGGTGAGCAGCAGAGTTCATGGTCACTTGATGGATGTGAACCATCCTTGTCACCTTTCGTTCTTCAAGCAGGATGCTTCAGAATGGAGTGCTCTGCCCAAGCATGCTCAGTATGTATTTATCTTTATCACTAGAATGTTTCCTCTCAACCTAATTGCTGGAACAAGTAGTCTTGTATTGTAACTCACATGGGATCTTATGAGAACAGTGCAGAAAACTATTTATTCCTTATCTTCCGAAAAGCACCAAGATTTTTCTGCATTGAATTTAAATGGGGGGAGGGGGGAATAGTCACAAATGCTATGGATCTTGCCACCTTTTAATTTAAAGAAAAATATATATTTTGGATGAGTAGGAAAAGCTGCACCAAATTATTTGCATGGTTTTCTTGAATAGCATCCTCAAGACCCATCTGGATTAAGATGTGGAAATGTTTCAAGGGTTTGTTTTTCCATTTTTGAAAAAGAGTTAGTATATTGTGAATAATGGTTCTTTGTATTTATGAAGTTGATAATGGAAAGAGAACAAAGATAAGTAAATGTGTCCCTAAATGTTGTCTTTTCCTTTTTTTTCCTTTCTTTTTCCTTTTTTTTCTTTTATATAAGCAGCAAGCTAATTAAGTGAGAAATGGGATGAAACAGTGCCCTTCCCAGGAATAGTGGAACTTTTTTTCCTGGCATTATTTTCCCTTTGACTGTGATTTTGTCTAGTTGGAGGAAGTGTATCCTGATAAGAGAGAAAATAGTGGTGCCAAGGATGATGACCTATGCTAGGCTAAAATTCTCTCTACCTCTTCAGGGTGACTAACTTTTGACTGAGCTGCTGCATATAGCACCCAGTAGAAGAACTATCTACAGAAAAATTTTTTTTTTTTCCAAATTATCACTTAATGTGTATTCAAAACTATTCTTCAACGTTGCAGCCAAATATCATAAGAAATTACTTACATACTTTACCTGCTAGGAACCCTGAAAAACAAAACTTAATAAAAAATTAAGTCAGATGCTTGTAGTTAACATGAAAGGTTGTTTTTACTTTAGTTTGAAGTGAATGCGATAGAAAGAGCTAAGATGTGGTTATTAAAGAAGCAATGACATTGCAGAGATTTATTTGGAGGACAAGTTGTAGAAATATATGTAAAGACTTAAACCCAAGACTGTCATAACTCATTGCTAGCCCTTTTTAGCAGCTACATGAAGAAAATAGTATCTCCTCCTTCTTTCCTTTGTTACGTGTAACATCCTTGTTGTTTTCTACTGTTTAATTACATTGTGTATTTATAGTTCTATGCTTACTGTTGTGCATATACTGGCAATAAAATGTACATAACATTACTTAAAAGATTAGCAATGTATACATTCTGGTTTTTCTGTTTTATTTGATCACATGCTATAAGAAAAATTATAAATGTTATTCATACAGCATTGGTTAAAAAAATTTATCTTCATGTTTTGTGCGTCCAAATGATGTTTCTTTATATAGTTTTGTTACTAAATCTGACTTGGCATTTGAGAACATGCTGTGAATACAGGTATATTAGACAACTTTTTTAAAAATGGAATAGAATCTTTATGAACACAGCTTCCTTCATATGGGCAGATTTTTTGCTTATTATTTCATTTATTTGTACATTATACATCATTTGCATTTTATTTTTTTAATATTTAAACATATTTTTCAGTCTGCACTCTTGTAGTTTTTACATTTTAATTATACAAAAGGTCGTGTCAAAAAATTGCACAAATTCTAAGCTTAATAGCCCTGTATGTTATTCCTGCATTTTGTATAGGTAATATTTATTTTCAGAGAACCATTGCAAGATGACTGTTACTTGTCATCTTTTTGAAGATGCTATTTCATACTGAAAATGTAAGTTATTGAAACATACAGTATATATTCTGGATGAAACCTAGTTTTTTTACATGTAAACAAAAAATACGTTTTTTATCCCCTATATGACTGAAAAATTTTGCTCCAGATAGGGGGGAGGAAGATATTTACCCCAAGTTTGTTCTTCAGTTTTGCTTTGAAGCCGCCTTAAATGTTTTAAGTGAAGATATCCCATGTATTAAAAATCTCAATGCAATATATTTAAATGAATATTTTACTTATGATATGACTAGTTTTGTTTCCAGCAGAGATGGGGTTGCTATCTTTGTAAACAGATAGAATCTATTTATATTACATAAACCCATCTGAATGTAAGAATTTGGAAAGAAAATTATTTCCACAGCTGCCAGTTGATCAAATTCACTGCATTGCTTTTTGCCTTCATTTCCTATATTATAAGTAGATATTAGCTCAGTTAAATTCAATCAGTGATTAGTCATGCCTTATGTTCCTGCTGGAGGTGGTTTCTCTAATGGATTAGCATAAAGATCTGGGAAAAAATAGGACAGTTATAAGTTGCTGTTCTTTCAGACAGGGTTTCTATATGTTCCTTCTAATATCCTGTGAAGATAGGTCATTGCAGTAATTTGATTATTAAAATGTAATTCTTTAAGGTTGTGTTTGGGCTTTAAAAAAGAGGAAGGAGAAGAAAAGCTACATGCAGAATCAGGATGGGAAATGAATATTGTGGATGTCTCAGACTTGGATGTCATTTGCTTTAAAGAATTTTGAGTAACACATTATGTTCAGATGAAGTCTTAGCAAGGAAGTTGGGATAATAAATGTAAATTGAAAGGAGAGCTGATCATGTAAATTTTCCTGAGTTGGCTTGCTTGTTTGTTTTTGAAGATAAAGGTTGGAACAGATTGAGTTGTGTTTATTATTTGTGGTCTGAGTCACAGAGCAAAAAGAACAAACATCTGGATCCTGAAACACTTACATATTCTTAATGGTTTCTATCCATGTTTAAACATTTAAGTCACAAACATACCCATGAAAAAATTCTATTGAGAATGCAGGCCTAAACTGCTCACAGTTTGAATTTTCAGCAAAGGAATTCAAATGCTGAATGTGGCATTGTCCCTTTGGAAACAATCATAAAAGAGAAAATAATTTTGAGAAATAAATCTGTTGAATTATGCTACAGTTTACTCCCTATGGGAGGTGAGTGAGAATGGTTCCACTGGCTGTGATAACTTGCACTGTGTTAGGCTGGGACTTCACAAACACAGACAAACAATAAACAATGTGATGGGGATGCATAAGCAGTTCGGAACTGGAGGATTATCTGGAGAACAATATCTGTTGTTATTCTCCCAATTAAAACAGTAAACTGATGAGTTTTGCAATTGCAGTCTACTTCCAGGTAAGATAAAAGTCAATACTTATATTGAGCTCAGTTAAGAAAGCATCTTTAAATTCTCCCCCACATGAGTTTTCCAACTCATTAAAAGTACATACTTTCAAGATTTGCTTCATAATTTATATGTTTTCTTCTTTTTGTTAAAACATATAAGATTTTCAGAAATGTGGGAAGCTTGAAGAACTAATTGTGCTAGTCTGGCAAAAAATCACACTTTATTTACTCTTTTCCTATATTTTGTAAATGTTTCTATGTTTTAGTGTACTTTAAGAGCTCAGAGTTTCCAAGCTGTGCAGCTTGGATTATCCCAGTTGAAGAAGTTTCTTCATTTGCTAATGGGATTTTAGGATAGTAAGTGTATTTTCTAAGAAATTTGCAAGCAGTTTTGAATACTGTGTGATTTCTGTTGAATATAAAAATTCTGTCACTTTTGATGTATTTTAGATAGATATAAGTGATCCTAGTGGAAATACTTTGAGGAAGTAAGATTGGAAAAAATTATGGATGGTGAAATAAGGAAAATACTTCTTCAGTGGAAAAAGGAACATACCTGCATGTGAATGTTTGATACCCACTTACATTGATATCAGATAGGAGATGAAAAGGTAACTGAACTTGATCTTGGGCATCACAGTTTTACAAGTTCTCTTTTTCAGTATCCTCTTACCTAGATCATGATATTTTCCACCAATGCTGATTTTTGGACCTGTGTAAACTCATATTACAGCCAGTACTGGAGATGGTTCTGATAACCTTATGTCAGGATTCAAAAATCCTGACCTATCCTAAATTCAAAAGCAGTCCCTTTCTGTCCAAGGAACACCTGTAGCAGTTAAAAACAAATAGGCAGATTTAAGTTACGCATATTCTCATAAGTCAGCTGGACTGGTTTAGGTATTCCCTCACCGTCTATTCATCTCTGCCTGTGGCAGAATACCTACGGGGGAGCTTCCCTAATATGTTCTCCAATCTGATTTGTCTGGAATAATCTCAGACTGGTCCTCCAGCAACACCAAGGACTCACAAACCTGTGCCAGAGAATGGATGAATGTCTGTCGTGGGCTGAGGAGGTCTGCCTGTATGGGGGCAGTGGTGGGGGAGGAAATATGAGAAAACCTGTTTCTTAGCACAGCGTGTTTAACCTGAGCACATACAGCTCATGTCAAAATACCAGGGAAGATGAGGAGACTGTTCATCTCGGCTTGGATAAATAACTCAAGTGCAAGCTTGTGGGGGAATGGATGTGTGTTCCATTTGAAACTGCAGATCAACATGTTTTAAAACCCAAAATTAATTTATATGCTAGTCTGAAATAATACATTTGAAACTTACTAATGATGTGCAAATACAAAAAGCCTCTAAGCTGGAAAAAGAGTGATTTCTGGCCTGTTACTTTGTGTCCTTTCAGCACAACTTAAACTGATGCAGATACATTTTTACACTACAGTAAATGTCTTTACAGATGGTTGTATCTTTCCTAAAGAATTTCTGAGCTGTTTGATGCTGGTTTTGATCTTTGAGATGACAGCTACGGCCACACTGGCCAACTAATCAATTGAAATACTTTTCCAAGACAAAATTACCTGCTTTCCCTAAGGAATTTTCATGCATCACCATTTATTATAGCCTATACCTGCCCTAGAGAAGAAATCTAAATTGGCTATTACCTGATTGTTCAGAAAGTGCCAGCTTAAACTTTTTAAAACCTTACTTGAAGAGCTAGTACTGTTAGAGGCTGCCTTTTCTCAAAAATCTGTTAATTAGCCACTGCTTGAGCCATGTAAGAAGATTTTTGCACTGTTAGGAGGTGGAAAATGCAGGGTTGCTAGAAAATAATAGGAAAAAGACAAGGTGTATATACTTAAATTAACCCCTTGTATATTGCAACTAATGTTCTGAAAAACCTTAAAAACCTTAAAGCCCCTTTGCGATTTGTGAAGTTTTTAGGAAGGGAATTTTCTTGGAATGCACTATGTCTTGCTTTCTGCTTTGGGAATTGAGAGGAAAATACTGATACTGGAGGACTTTATTTACAAACCCAAGCCAGCCCAATGCTAGAAAATGTTAGACTTCGCAGGGTACCAAAGCTGCCGCAGAGGCACAAGTAAAAGGGAGTCAGTCCATTAGGACTGAGAAATAACGAAGCTCTGTTTTCTGTGTCAGGCAGCCTACATTGCCACAGCAGTCTGGGAGTCCAAATACTGATTTTTAGGCTACCAAGCACAGAATAGCATAATAACAACAACTTGAACTTGTCCACCTTTACAGACTTCTGAGTCATCTTAAAATAAAATGGACTCCACCCTTTTCCACCATCATAAAAACCTGCTAACTTTAGTTTAGATTCAGGTATGACGTAATGGGTTAAATCAAAATACTCTCTGGTCAGTGATGCTGTCGAAATCTCAGTGCCTACAAATGATGTGCATGTCATAGGTTTCTTTGTATGCCATGGTCTTCCTAAAAAGCAGCAGATGAAACAGAAGAAAGCAAAGGTAATACTTGCCATGCTTCATCTTGTAAGGTGTGAAGTCAGTAAGGCATTTATTCCTCAGCTCATACCTCAGCACCTTACTGCATCCTGAGATTGAGAAGTAGATGGTGTGAGGAATGTGACTATAGAGGAACAAACTACAGACCAGGAATTCCTTGCAATGCAGACTTTCTTAAAAGGGGACAAGACCCCATGAGGAAAGGAGCATATCCTGCTGTATTCTTCAGAAGCAGCCAAATCTATGGTAACCTGACAGTTGAGCACTGGGAGCAATCCATATTTCTCCTTTACAAAGTTACTTCTCCAGCTGAGCACTCATATCAAGGAGACACTGAAGCAAGTCCACAGAGTCTGCTATATATCTGATGTTTTTGATCAAAATGATTAGAAGGAGCTGTTGAAGAATTTAGCATGCTCAGCAGTGTTATGCATCATGCAGAGTTCTGGTCAGATATCCTGTGATGTGTTGTGTTGTCTCTATTCTGGCCGCATCCTAAGACTTGGGAGTTGCACTAAAAATGTTCATTGTGGGTTTTCCCATTTCTCCTTTATTTTTGTTGGCAGGCCTGCTTCTCAAGAGTTCTGTATCACAGAAGAAGGGCTGGTAAATGCATCAGTCATTCAGCATTCAACAGGCCCAAATTACAACACCTAAAATATCCAAGAATCCAGATTAAAGTTGACAGGTAGATATGGAGAGCAGGTGGGGGCACTGGTGCTCATCTTCTGCTGCACTCCATGGACACAGTGCACTGCTCTTCTCAGGCTGTCGGCAGTGACCCTGTACTTCTGCCACCTTCAGATGACCAGACACAGCAAAAGGACTGGGCTGGGTCAGCCCTTAATGTGTCAGGAGGTGTGTGGAGAACTGCAGGTCAGTGCAGTGATGGATCACGTGCAGAAGTTATTCCTGCTTGTGGCTGTTATCCAGCATTGTTTAAGTTCACTGCAGTAGGAGGGAATACACTCTCACTGACAAGGTGTATAGGAGAGACAGAGAAGTTGTGTACTCAAAAATAGAGGGGCTAGAAATGTATGTCAGCACTTTTGACAGAGATGTATGATGGATTCATAGCCCATCCAAGCCAGGAGTATCATCTAGACACAGATAACTAACTCACTGTTACCCAAAGTCACCCTGCGTTAGGCAGCAAGTGCTGTACAACCAAAGAGTCCAAAGACCAAATAACAATACTTTTCTCAACTCTGTTTTGGGAATGAAGTATGTAGGGATTGCTTCTGCATCAATATAAAACGTTCTTCTGACTTTTAACTGAAAACCTTAAAACTTTAGTATTTTGAACACAACAAAAATCACTGGACAGCAAAAACTTCCATTAAACAAAATTTTCAGAATAGTTACTGAATTCACAGTGTCTTATATTGTGCCTGATTAAGTTTTTCATGTGCTGTCTGTAGAACAATTTTACTTGGTGAAAGCAAAGAGCAAAGATGACATTTGGTCCTATTAACCGGTTATAATGCCAGTATTTAAGGTCATTTGTTGTAGTTCTCAGAAGAGCAATCAGGAAAATTATGTGAGAAGTCTGATCACTATAAAAAAGATTAGCAAGTTGAGTGATGCCTTAGGAGACTTCATCATTTTGAATGCAGCTCATGGGAAAAAAATCCAATAAAATTATCAGGTACTATATGCTAAAGTACTTAACTTCATATCCACCCATTAGCAAAACATGAGCCTCCCCACCTTAAATTTCAGGTTGGACTTTGTATGCCATACACAAGCCTTAGAGCAAGAGATGTTTTAAATAAATAATGCCTTGTTGTTTGTGTATACAGTGCTCCTTTGCTGAGATGTATGTACTTACTGGGCAGATCATAAAGCAAGAAAAAAAATAGCCCCTTAACAATAAACAGTACAAGGTAAAAAACTCACCTTATTTGTCCCCAAACTTGAAGGACCGTGTAACCACATACCTTTATGTCTAGAGGTTAGTCAAGGGCAGCAGGTGTGGGTGTGGGGGATATCCAGTGTTTCATAAGGCAAA